AGATTCTTTATCTGGCCCAGATAAAGGACCTATAGAGTGGAACCTGAGACACTGGTGCTTGTATGGTGTGTAAAAATGTTGAATAGTATTATTTTGTGCCTCTGACCGACCAGGAAGAACCTCAAGCATTTGATCAAAAATGTATTGCAATTCTAAAAGCTGGAGCTTTTTTTTTTGAGTAATTTCTATTTTTTCTTGGTTTAATACTACTATAGATATACTAAAGAGTCATATTCAGTAACTACAATAATGTCCTGATGACTGCTCTTCCATCTGTAGGGCCATTGAGGTCACTGTGCTGACGTTACAGTCACACTCGCGGCTTGTTCCAACACAAACCCTCATTAGGAAACATGCAAACAAACACTCCAGCATGAGTCCAGACACACAACATGAGGGAATGGACTTTCATTTGTGATCACTTAGTGTACAGCTCACATCACATGGCAACTTAAAGTGTGCAAATCAAGTTTTATAAGCTTCTCTAAAACACCTGAGCTTCACATTGTTGATGATAAAAAAAGTGTCTGAACCAGAGACTCACTATTGGAGGTTATGATCAGTAAAAATTCAAATTAAGACTAAAACTTACCAGGAATGATTGACACTCCAGCAGCGGCTCCACCCTGTGCTCTGATAGGATGACGGTGCAGCCAGAAAACGCCTGTTTCAGTGTCTTCCTCAGAACCTGCAGTGTTCTGCTCACACACACACACACGCACACACACACACACACATTTTCATCATCATCAAAGGCAGTTTCTCTCCACTAAACACATCAGTTTAACCTGAGGCCAGTACTGTAGAACACTGAGCTGATTGCTCATTACAGGCTTCATTTAGCATCAAGACCCTCTTCTGCACATAAGGTTGTACACACGTCCACATACAGTAGGTCAAAATTACTGTAAGCACCCTAGATTGTCACCATATGTAGTGACAGAAACACCACACATGCTGGATCGGCATGGGTTGCACTGCACTGTGGTCTCATCTTACAGGACTCAGAAAATACACAAACTTGATAACTTTCAGGTGGCCGCTGTGTTTCAGTGTGCTGCAGGGAAGCAACTCTACTGAAAAAACTATTTATGAAAACCCCTCATGTTGCTCAAAACAAAAACGCACGCAGCATAAGGGAATATCAAAAGAGGCCGTCAAATACATGCAGAAAGGACGGCAACATGAGAATGTAGTTGAAGCGCATTGCTGCTAATAAAATGATTTAAATCTATCTAATAGGACCTGAAATACATCCATACTGTCTGCAGATCCTCCTTCTATTAAAGCTTGTCTGCAAGTTTAGCTGTTAAATATTTAAATGTCCTCATACATTTAAATGCCATTACACTCACGACTTATTGCCCCATTACTACAAAATGTGTCTAAAAATGTGTGTACATGCTGAAATAAGACTGATTAAAGCTGTTAGGATGAGTAGCAGATGTATGTTTTAAATGCAATATATTTTTGGATATAATAAAGATGTATTGCTGTGATTATTTGAAAAAACAAAACAAAACACAACACTGGTTATCTAAACAGTTTAGTACTTTAAACTGTTTAATATAATATTTTACAATATAACGCTGCGTTTCTGTCAACAACAAGCTTTAAACTAAGTTTGTAAACTGCACCACACAAAAGGTGCAGAGCATTGATTTCAATCAGAGCACTGATTACAGCGACCAACAGAGTGTGCTTTGACGTTTTTACTGACATGGGGTCGAGGTAGGCAGAGGGTTCGTCCAGCAGCAGGATGCGAGCCTTGCTGAGGATGGAGCGGGCCAGACACAGCAGCTGCTTGTGTCCGTTGCTCAGCACACTGCCTCCGTCCTCCAGCTGAAAGTCCAACTTGTCTGGAAACTGCTCGATCACTGACTTCAGACCCACCTGCGGGCACACAAGACAGACGGTACTTGACTGTGACTGTGTTCTGCAGTCGGTCAGGTTTATTTATTCACCTGCTGCTTGATTGGATTCTGAAGAATGTAGATGATTTTTGATTCCTGCAAGATACCTGCAACCTTGAAAGTCTTTCTCTGCATTTCAGATCTCCCACTTGTTCTTTTTCCTTCCTGTATTTACTACAGCTGTCCTTACAAAGTATGTACTATTGCATCTAGTGTACATTTAAATAGCATTATAGGTATTTGAGCTCAACCCTTATTTTATCTGTTCCATGTATTACAACTTTAATAGTTGGTACCATTTCACTTGCATTTGAAATTATAGATTCAGTGATAACTTCAAATCAAAGAAATGCTGACAAAATAGCAGGACAGCACTGTGCTGTCGTGAGCTCGTAATGCTAAACTGCAGAAATATCAGCCCATGTAGTAAAACATTTTCTTCAACATCCGATTTCCCTAGTGTTCTGGTGGTAATGCAGGAATTTACATTTGTGTCTTTTTAAAATATAACAATCATTCACTCTGACTGGTAAAACAGAACACATTTGGTAGAGCAGAGTCATTCACCAAATCAATCAGAACTGTAATTATGAGCACAGAAAGAAAACAGAGGCTAACCTCCTCGGCTACCCTCCACAGCTCCTCATCACTGTGGCGTCCATGTGGGTCCAGGTTCATCCGGAAAGTTCCAGTCAGGATAAAGACTCTCTGTTTACCAGAGACCAGAGAAAACAGTTGGGTCTCAACAGAGTGGATTACAGAGGAGCTACCTGTATTTAAGAAATGTGACTAAACATTGCAGTTGTGGTTCATTTAGCTCTTTTGTAGGACTCCCTGATCCGGCTGAGCTTGTTGGAGACCAACTATATCATACTTGTTATTACGTTTTAATTCTATTAATTCAGTGATGTTTTCTAGACTTAGTCTACAATCGCACAACCTTTTTTTTTTTCCTTTAATGACAACACATAAGCACACTAGTCTAGATTTTCTGTGTTGTCCTGGAATTTGAACCAGCCTTATCTAGAAGTGACTTGCAGAACAGAAGCTCTGCCGTCCTGAATGTACCTGTGGCACCACTCCGAAGGCCCTCCTCCATGTGTGCAGGGAAACAGAGCTCCAGGAAACACCATCAATAGAGATTTCTCCATCAGTGGAGGCAAGACGCAGCAGAGCGGACAGCAAGGTGCTCTTTCCTGCACCTGTCCGACCCAACAGACCCACCTGCACACATCAGCACAACAGACACTTTCAGTTGTTCATATCTTCTCTCATTTCTTGCTTTATGGTTAATTAAAAAGCTTGGGGGACTTCAACATGTTTTGTAAATTCTTTAGTTTCCTTCTATCCAAGTATGCACGCCTAAAGAATTCTCTAAACAGCATGCACGCATACTATCAAAGATTCAGTGAATATACTTAGATACAATAGAGAAATGAGTTGTGGCCTCGAGGTGTTAGAGAGTCTAAAAGCTCTCTGTCGTTTCTTCCTCATGCTGGCGGCAACAATTAGCCCATTTATCAGGAGGCCATAGAGTGGCTAATGGGATGAGGCCAAAGTGCTGACACTTACAGAGCTCCACTGTCCTCCAGGATTCATTATGAGGAGCTCATACTGACTATAATTACTGCTTGAAGCAGAGAGAGAAGGGGGTGGTTAGATATTGCATGTTTTTTCTCTTTCCATTGAAAGCTATTTGACCACTAGTGACTTAGTTCTGCTGCCCTAATTTAATAGGACAAAGCACTGGAAATGCATATGGAAGGAAGAGGAGAGCTTAATTTGTCATAATGCCGTTGCTGCTGTTTTCAGCTATGCCTACTTTCGAATATTATAAATAAATATTGAGGTATTTGAATCTTGTATTTTTTTTCCCACTCATTCCCTCAAGGCCATGCTTTTTTTCCATTTGTTGGTTGTTTCGTCTGTGTTGTCATGTTACCTTGTTTATACTTCTGTCTGTATGTTGGACCTAAAGAGGAACTCTTCTAATTTGTAACTTGAAACTATTTTCTGACAACTTAAGGGGAAAACAGAGACAAATTATAAACACATCATTTTTTTAGAAAACACCTGTCAACAAGGCAGATACAGAGAGTCACATTAGTTCTGTTTGTCTTCACCAGCTCCTGAGAAAATACCAGTGTACTATACCTGCTCACTGTCATTTGATGGAGTTAGAATTTCAATAATATAAAAAGATTCAGCTATAAACAAGTCAGCATATAGTGTACCATGTAAGCACTTGTGACACAGCCTTCCTGGTTGCTAGTAATCCACTTCTCTATAACCGTTCTATGACCTTGCTATACTATGTAATTGCAGCACTGCTCTGGGCCAATTAGTCTTTTGATGTTTTAAAACCCAACTACCACATATCACTGCCAAGTTTCATTAAATTCAGTCAACCACCTCCCCCCCATACCATTCCCTGAGGACTTACGCTGTGGCCACCCTCCACAGAGAAGGAGATGTCGCTGAGGACGGCACGTCCAGCTTCTGTGTATTTGACGGTGAGGCCCTGGACATCCATCTGTCCGCGGTTGGGCCAGCAGTCATGGGCATGAGGGTTGTCGATGACAAGGTCTGAGCCTCCTTTACCACCCGATTTCCCCGGCAGCGGCTCCTCTGGTGGCAGGTCGATGAATTTAAACACTCGATCGACTGAACGCATCTGATAGGAGGAGAAATAAAACATGAGGGGAGCTATGAGTGGCAGGGGTCTGTACAGTGTAAACACAGATTACTGCTGTTGATCATCACCAATTTTCAGAATGGATTTAGAACATACACAAGGAACTTTCCACAGCACAGACTACTGCTGCTCCTGATGTTCAGAGGTGACATGAATCACTGTTGCACTGAGTTGTGCCTCTGTATGATGCTGGGCGATCTTTTGACAGAAATGTCTCACAAAAAATCTGAAAGAAATCTGAATTGTTTTCTTAAACCTTTGACTGTGTATTGGAACCCTCTGATTGTTACCATATCCAATTTCTGTGAGCCAGAAATCTTCAGACAAACTCAAGGATAACATGTAAATTCACTGAAGTGTTTGCATACTGAACAAAATGTCCTGCACTATGATAAGCTCTGTCAGCTTCACTAACCAAAATGTGGGAGAAACCACCACTGGATGGATGCAAACTGACTCACTTCATAATCAACAGATTACAGCTGGGATGCCTACAGTTCAGCCTTTTCTTTCTATTACCCTCACCTTCTACAGTATCTTTTGGATACTGGTTAGGAAAAGGAAACCAACAAAGTGTTTTACACAGAACTGTTTGAGCTACATCCACCCAACACTTGTGGGCAGTCACACTCATCTGAAGGCCAGTGAGAAACAGACAGAAGAATTATGATAAAAAAAATAAAAAAAAAATTCTAAATCCAAACTGTTCGACTCTAAATACACATCAGCAGTTCTGGTCATACTACAATAGGTGCGTGATTCTCACAGTCTCTCCTCATGAGAAGTGTTTCTTTAAAGTGCAATTTGTTTTCTAGTGAAAGCACAGTTATTGCAATTGCAGTGTGGACAGCTCATGCATTTTTTTTTTCTAAACACTTCGTCCACAGAGGGGTCCGTGCAGAACCTTGTGGATGTGTTGATGCGGAGAGCATGAATTGAAGAAGCTAGCATGGATTCTTGATGTTACATTGACAACAGTGTCTGCACGGGGGGAAGAGAGAACAAAAGTTGGGAAGTTCAAAGTGTAAAAACGCAGGATTTAAACCCACAAACTTAACATTTCTAAAATCCCAGTGGTTTCCAAGCAATGTTACACTAACACGTACACCTACACTTATAGTTGAAAATGTATGTGGCTGATGCTTGTGTCTAAAGGGACAAACAATAAGTGCATTCAAAGTCCTGCAAATGAGACACAGTGGTTGACTTAGCAAAGGCATTCGAGACAGTGTCTGAAAAGTTTGGTTTAAGCCATTCTATCCAAACATCAGAAAGGATTTCACTTATTTCACAGGAAAACATAGGCTAGTATCAGTGACCAAAGCTTGCTCTTTGTGACAGAGCAGCCAACTGTCCACAGAATTAGTCCATGTTGTAGAGATTAGCACTAGAATGTTGAACTACATGCGACCCTCAAAACAGAGCCGGTGTAATTAGAAGTAAAGTGGAGTTGTGTGGGGGTGCTAGGGGAAGGTTGAACACCAAATGTGCAGGAATATTCTAGACTGGCTGCAAAGATCTGGACTGCAAACACAGGTGTTCAAAACAAACCCATACATGCTCAGCAAAGTCACCTCTAATGTGTTTGTGTATTTATTTATGCTTGAGACACTATTAACGTGCCGCTAGTTGTGTGGTATTTCCATGCACATACCAGTCCGTCTACAGTGATGCTGGTGATGACAGCCCATTGGAAAGTCCCAAGGATCAGCATGGCAAGAGCCACAATGATGCCAATCTCTCCTGGTTTGTCCTCTGTTGAGCCCAATCACACACACACAGACACACAAAGAGTCATCAGGACTGTCCAATCACAGCTGCTCTCTCTGATGTCAGAGCCGTGCTCAGGTATTGCAGCTCTGCTCCTGGCTTCATTGGAAACTAACGAGCTGTGAAATGACCCTTTAATCTGTTCTCAACCTAAACGCAGCCTCTGACGCAGCACCACGTGTGTGAGTGTGCTTGCTTTTCCAATTCATGTAATTAAACAAACACATGCTTCCTTTTGTACATGACATTTTATCCGATGGCATTCCAGCAGTTTTGATCAGTTTTCACAGACAAACTGTTCTGTTCTGATCCTGATATCTGACTCTACACTCTGCAACTCACAGATAAGACTGAAGTTTCTTCACTCCTGGGTCCTGTAGACATAATAACGTGTTTACAAACCAACTAACTTACAGGAATTTCAAGATGTTGCTGCAACACCATGTCATACTTCGATGTCTACCCAAACTAAACAAACGATAAAGCACTAATATTATTTTTTACATTATTGTAATATATCTTCATTACATATTGGCTCTCTGATCTTTGCCCTCTTGTTGTTTAGAATTGACTCACTATGGAGGACCAATGAGTTTATTACGCTTTCATGTTCTGCCAGATATCAATCAGCAACCATTTGACCAAAAACAATATTATCTAAAGCTAATACCATCTTGTCTTCAGAATCCATTCCAGAATTTCATGTGTAATAGGCCTCAGCAGCGTAGGAACTTTGGGTTATCAATGGTTAAAGTAAATACTGGTGAGGGTTGTGTTATATCAGTCTTTATGTGTAGAAACTGCTGCTACTGCTGCTGCTGCTGCTCTCGGTACCTGAAAGGCTCAACTGAATGACAGCACCCTTGCTAACTGAGGTTTGCCACAATCACAGCTCATTCACTTCTCTGAGCTCCAGCTAATCCACAGCACAAATTACTTTAATCTTGTGTCTTTCAGAAGCTGTATTAGCTAATATGTGTCTGTGCTTCAAGCAATTCATTCAGCTCAATTGTTTATGCTTGGTTGATTCAGAACACATCAGGCCAGGGCAAATAAAGTGAAAACTATCTACATGGCTAGATATGGCTTGGAGTTAAGTAGGAACACTTTTGAGATCTTGAGGGATTTTAGTGAATTTATGCTTTAAAAACATGAATTAAAAAATCTAGGACAGGTTGAATTAGTAGTTCAGTAGTATGAATGTATAAACTGTACTCCATGTATAAAAAAGTTTACTTATGAGATGCAAATCCTGAAATCTTTCCTATGTTCCCATACATAACCTTATTTGTGTACACACATGCATCTCATTACTCACGGTTCGTTCCCACAGCTATGAAGGCAGCTGCAGTGAAGAACAGGACGAAGATCATGTCACAGCGGAAGAGGAACCAGCGCAGTGTGGCCAGGTAGTGAAACCAGGTGGCTGTGTGAGTGTTCAGGGCCTTGTGGAAGAGCATCTCAAAGTAGGTCTGACGCCCAAATGCCCGGATTGTCCATAAACCCTTCAGTGAGATGATGAGGTGGGAGAAAATGGGACTGCGAGCTGTAAGAAAGGACAAGTTGAACATATATCTTTAAAGATCTTAAGGTGTGAGGGAAAAGTTTTTTGGCACATATGCCAACTGTACATGCAGTCTGTTACAATTGCTTTTGCTTGTTTTCCTCTTGACCTTCAGCTTTCTTTTTTGTAACACTTCTTTGGTGCAATGCTGGGAACCTTCTTAAAATGTAACATTTCTGAACATGCTGTTTAGATTGCACTGTTTTACATCAACCTGATCACGCTGAAGTCAGCCAGCATAGCAACCAGAGCAACAAAAATGAATCAGAAAGCAGAAATCTTTTGGCACGCAGAGGATGCGAAGCGAGAACACAGCCATGGGGCTACGTCCACATTACAGACCTAGGGAGTTTTCGTACATCGTTTTGATTGTTGTTTATACTAATTTTTCTGGTTACTTGGCAACCACAGATGATGCCATCCACTCTGTTACTAAAAGACTCAATACTTTGCACCCAAATGCTTTCATGTATTTTTTATAGAATTTTACCACTTCTACAAGCTTGTGCTACAGTTACATAGCCAATTTTCCTGCAGGGATAAATACAATTTTTATGATTTTGATACTTTGATATTGAAGATTAATATTCAGTTAATCTGTCAATAAAACAACTTAGGTGAAGCCAGAGAACAGTTTTGTTTACATAAGTGACTGCTGATAAAAGATGCTAAAAGGTTCTGACATTTCACTATTAACTGCTTTGCAACATCTGGACAGCGATGCTACGCTGTTTCTGAACTAGTGAACAGAATTATTAATTCTATCTGATTGTGTATGCACAGTACTGTGCAAAAGTTTTCGTCTTTTCAGACATTTAGATTCTCATCCTTAATTTAGCACCATCAGGGAGTCGTCAGATTTCATTCAGCAGCCTTACAGTGAGCCCAAGTAAACAACCTGACTCATAAAGTACTATCTTCAGGGATAAGAAGAACAAGAAATCCTGCAACAGATTGTCAGCAGAATGACGGCTGTGGCTCAGGTGGTAGAGCGGGTTGTCCTCTAATCGCAAGGTTGGCGGTTCGATCCCCTGCCCGTCCACAGTCGAAGTGTCCTTGGGCAAGACACTGAACCCGAAGTTGCTCCCAATGGCAGACTAGCGCCTTGCATGGCAGCTCTGTCGCCATTGGTGTGTGAATGTGTGTGTGAATGGGTGAATGAGAAACATTGTAAAGCGCTTTGAGTGCCGCAAAGGTAGAAAAGCGCTATATAAGTGCAGACCATTTACCATATAATGAGACAGAAGACACTGACAGCCTAAAACCACAGAAGTGCTGTGACAAGTCTGGAACAATCTACTTGCCAAGTACAACAAAAAAAAAAATTGTGTAACTAGGAGAGCTGGTACTGATTTAAAGACAAAGCACACAAATAATAATTTAAGTCAATATTTTCTATTATGTTTTCTCGTGCAAGGTTAACTGATAACAGATATTTTTGAAAGTATTCACACTTTTCTTTTAGTACATGGTACTGTATATCTAAAAAATCAGTGTGTCTGTGGTTTAATTTTAAATTTACAGTTTATGGATAGCAACCAACACACTGACAGTATTCAACTAGATTAGATTAGATTAGATTAGATTGGATTAGTTTAGGCTAGACTAGATTAAATAAGATTAGATAGAACTTTATTGATCCCTTTGATTGGGTACCTCAGGGAAGAAGAAGAAGAAGAAGAAGAAGAAGAAGAAGAAGAAGAAGAAGAAGAAGAAGAAGAAGAAGAAGAAGAAGAAGAAAAATAATAACAATGGAAACAGTAACAGTACCAAAGTGCCAAAATATTGCACACAGTCCGGTGATAGAGCATGATGCTCTATCTCACCCCAATGTCCTCACTCCTCACCCCTCGCTCTCTACCTCTCCCCGCTTGCTGCTCCTCCCCCTACCCCCGTTGAACAGTTTGATGGCTCGGGGGACAAAGGAGTTTTTGGTCTTGTTAGTTTTGCACCTGGGGAGTAGCAGCCTGTCGCTGAACTGGTTCTTCTGGGCGATGATGACAGTGTGCAGAGGGTGGCTGGCATCGTCCATGATGGCCAGCAGTTTGTTCAGTGTCCTCCTCTCTGCCACTGTCACCAGGGAGTCCAGTTTCATGCCCACTGTAGAGCTGGCCCGCCTGATTAATTTGTCCAGCCTCGATGCATTCTTTTTTGATGTGCTGCTGCCCCAGCACACCACGGCGTAGAAAAGGACACTGGCGACCACTGACTGGTAGAACATCCGCAGGAGTTTCCTGCAGATATTGAACGACCGGAGTCTCCTCAGGAAGTACAGCCTGCTCTTGTACAGGTAGTCTGTGCTGCATGTCCAGTCCAACTTGTTGTCCAGCCACAGCCCAAGGTACTTGTAGTTTTGTACAAGTTCTACCTCATGTGCCTCAGTCAGAACTGGTCGTGGGCATGGTCCAGAAGTTCCTGAAGCGTTGAGCTGCAGGTGGTTTTCTCTGCACCAGACAACAAAGTCGTCCACCAGACTCCTGTACTCACTCTCTCTGTCATCCTTGATACATCCCATGATGGCTGTGTCATCTGCGTACTTCTGTATGGGGCACAGCTCGGAGTTGTAACAGAAATCCGAGGTGGACAGGGTGAAGAGGAGAGGGGCCAGCACTGTCCCCTGAGGGGCCCCTGTGCTGCTGATGACAGTGTCAGATGTGGTGTCCTTCAGTCTGACATACTGTGGTCTGTCAGTGAGAGAGTCAGAGATCCAATCCACCAGGCACGAGTCCACTCCCATCCTTTTTAACTTTCCCTGCAGTAGCGGGGGCTGGATGGTGTTAAGGCACTTGAGAAGTCCATAAAAAGAATCCTCACAGTGCCGCTTTCCTTGTCCAGGTGTGAGTGGGCTCGATGGAGGAGGTACAGCACAGTATCCTCCACCCCAACATATGCCCGATAGGCAAATTGTAGAGGGTCCTGGGCGTGCTGAACCTGGGGCCTGAGGAGGTGGAGGTGGAAGAGGAGCCACTCCAGCGTCTTCATCAGGTGTGAAGTGAGTGCCGCGTGTTTGTCGCCAGTTGGTAGTCATTCAGCTCACTGGGCCAGGTCTTTTTCGGCACCGGAACGATGCAGGATGTCTTCCAGAGGGTGGGCACTGTCCCCAGCTGCAGGCTGAGGTTGAAGATGTGCTGTAGCAGCTCCTCCAGTTAAGCAGCACAGGACTTGAGAGGACTTGATGTTGAGAGGGAGGCACACTGAGGGAGGGGGGGAGGGGGGACTGCAGTGAGGGTGAGGGTGGGGGAGTCATGGGCTGGTCAAACCGGTTGAAGAAGGCATTCAGATTGTTTGCCTCCTCCACCGTCCCCCTTGCTGTTCTGGATTTTGTTTTAAAGCCCGTGATGGTATTCAGACCCTGCCAGACCTCCCTCATGCTGTTGTCCCTCAGCTGCTGCTCCATCTTCCTCCTGTAGGTGTCTTTGGCCTCCTTCAGGCACAGCTTCACCTCCCTCTGTGCTGATCTGATTGCCTCCCTGTCTTTGTTCCTGAAGGCCACCTTCTTCCTGTTGAGTGCAGCTTTGACCTCCTGCATCACCCAGGGTTTGTTGTTCGGGTAACAACGAACAGTCTTAGCAGGAGAGACTACATCCACACAGAAGTTCAGGTAGTCAGTCAGGCAGTGGGTCAGCCCCTCAATGTCCTCACCATAAGGGGGAAAACAGAACATCCCAAGAGGAGGTTTCCATACAGTCTCTCAGGACCTCCTCCACCTCAGGAGACCACCTCCTGATGGTGCGTGTTGTGGCCGGCTGTCTTTTGACCAGAGGGGTGTACTGAGGCTGTAGGAGGACTAGGCTGTGGTCTGACTTCCCAAGTCAGGAGGGGGGTGGCTCTGTATGCGTCCCGTACATTAGCATACAGGAGGTCGATTGTCCGGTTGTTTCTGGTGGGGCAGTTCACAAACTGGTGAAAAGCAGGCAAGGCAGAGTTCAGTGTGGCGTGATTAAAGTCCCCAGAGATGATGATGAGTGCCTCTGGATGTTGGGTCTGCAGCCTTGCTGTGACTGTGTGAATCTTCTGACAGGCAGCGGCTGCATCGGCACAACACAGAACCACCTTGACAGAAACGTGACTTTGGTTACACCAGCGGTTGTTACCGTACATGATGAGACCCCCACCTCTGCTTTTTCCGCATGCTTTCGTGTCTCTGTCCGCTCTCACTGCAGTGAAGCCTGGCAGGTCCACGTTAGTGTCCGGTGTTAGCTGGGTTAGCCACGATTCCGAGAGGATGAACAAGCTGCACTCCCAGTAGATGTGCTGGTTGATCAGCGCTGACAGCTCATCCATCTTGTTCTGCAAGGTGTTTACGTTTCCCATGATTACCGTCGGGATCGATGGTTTGAAACGCCTCCGGTCTGTTAGCCTAGCCTTCAGCCTAGTGCCAGCCTTGCTACCCCAATAGCGCCTCCTCAGCTCAGCTGGGATATGATGTCGTATTCCAGCCTGTGCCATCGGCTTTAGAGCCAGTAGTTTCTCTCGAGAAAAAGTGAGTTTCCTGGCTCCTGCGGGTGCTTTGAAGTTATAAGTATCCACATAATATAGAAAGACAAAAAGAAAAGTAGAAAAATATCTAAAAATATCTAAGAAAAACAAACAAACAAAAAAAACAAACAGAAAAACAAGGACAAAAATGGTTGGTGTTGCAGAGTAACTGGAGAGGCAGCCGTCTCCTTCGGCGCCCATTAAGAACAATATGTTTATAACATTTTGTTTTATAACAGTATGTTTCCTTTTCCTCTTATTTTTTTGAACAGATTACCCACTCCATTATCTATAGGCTTAACACTGCATGACACACATTTGCCTTGGCTTTTCTTTGAGAATTACTTGCAATCGTTCTGCCCAAAGTTACCCTTCAGGAAGGAACTCCAATGTAAGACAGGAAGCATTCAGGGTTGGACAGTCCTCTGCAATGTGATCATAACAAAAGTGGTCATGCATACTGTACATTCCTCTAACTGGAGAACTAGAATTATGGTTACAAGTGAGACCTAAATTAAATAGGTATGTTTGAGTAATGTCAACAGAATAGTGGTGACTAATACACATAATTTCCACTGTAATAGGTCTGACATCGTGACACCAGAGGGATCAACACCAGGATGGGGCTGAAGGAAATCCCAGTTCAGCTCATCCCTCTGAACCCGACGTGCTCTCGGCCGCTCCGGAAAGACCTTGCCGTCATCACTGTAACACACACTCAGCGGTGGATCGTAGTGAGAGCAGAGCAGGGAAGTCCAAAGAACAGAGCATCTTCGTCAGCAGTCCAGTGACCTGTTTTCTCATCCTCTGTCTGCACAATCCTGCCCTTCTCTGTCAGCTCCGGAATATGGCAGATCTTTTGAGATGTAACAACCTATGACTTTGACTTTTAAACTGAAATCCACTGTATATTATGTAAAATAGGTGTCATCAGAAGAGACAGCAGTGCACAGTTTTTTTGGGGAGGGATAAACTTCATTTAAATAAAAAATTAGTCTCTACAAAAAAGCTGGCATTGTGCTCTCTGGATAATCCAGTGTAAACAGGATGATACTGATTTAGACTGTTTTTGTGGTCGAATTTTTCAGCACATTTTTACCACCATAAAACAAATTCCATTCATATGGTAGGGGCAGACGTTGTAGAGACATCTCCAAATCTGGCCTAATAAATTCCAAATTCAAATTTCTTAATATACATGAATAATTGCCACGAGATGTATGTGGGAAAATGTATTTTCCTGGTTAGGATGTACTGACCAATCTCCATCTATCCATCATTTATATACTGCTTAATCCTCATTAGGGTCGCGGGGGGGCTGGAGCCTATCCCAGCTGATTTAGGGCAAAGGCAGGGGACACCCTGGACAGGTCACTGACCAATTTCTTTATGTTAATTTAAGTGAAATATACGCTCTTGTCAATTGCTATTCCTGTAGCACCCCACTTATTACAAGACTCTCACTTGAAGATAATGGGCAATAATTAAAAAGATTATCCTGCAAATGTACACCTGTAAATTTGACCTCTACAAGTATCACTGAATGAGTGTCTCCCACAGTAATTGCACTAACACTGATGCTGATTTAGCAGATGATAATCTTAAGTATTATAAATATATTCCCTATACATTATCAGCTCTGCTTCCTGTTTTAATGAAGCACCCGATTACAGATTTACTTTTGTGCCACACAGACAATATATTACCAGGAAACTTCAGACGTCATGCAGAGCTAGAACATGTCAAACAACTGTCTACTGCCAACACATTTTTAGAAATGTCCTCTCAGTCTCATTCTCTGATAACTGTAGGATAAGTGTCATTTTATTTCACCTTGTCTTGCCCTGTTTAACTGCTCCTGCCCCTCCGAGGCAGCCCATCCACCCTCTCCTCCAACCCTTCCTCTGTCATGTTTTCATTCTTCAGTGTGACATCTGCCCTCTAAGCCCTGGGCCATCCAGCAGCTCTGCCTGCTGACAGGCAGTTAATGACTGCTGCATCTGCCCCCTGAGTCTCTTTTCCGCTGTTCTCTCTTTTAGTTTCCTCTCATGTTTTCACTTTTACTCTTCCTGAATATTTGTCATTTTACTATCATACTCTTGCCTGATCCCTTCTTTGCTGGCTGGTTTCCACTGTGACTTTTACTCTCATAACATTGTCAAATCCAAAATAAAGGCACATGTTCAGGATTATATTTTCTATATGTGAGAGCTAAAGAACAACACTGAGGGTGGGATCAATACAGTCTGTAGGATGCTTTAGCATACTTTAAATACACACTAGCAAAATCGTTCTATCAAAATGAGTGGCATGTTATTTCCAGAATGCATTTCAAATGTATTTAATTTCTATTTTTATTTTTGCATCTATAGGCAAAATATAATGATTACACCAAACCTTACATGGACTAAATCTGATAAAGCAAATTTTAAAGTTCTACATTGGAGATTTTGAAAATACTAAACATTAGCATTGATACAGCAGCAAACAAATGTCTGCTTTGTAAAAACATAGTACAGTAAAGGGGTCCTTAGCAAAGAACGGAGTTACCCTCCCTCTGTGTTCGTTGAAATCCCAGTTTCAGTTTTATCTATTGGTAGGTAGTCCAGCTACATGTGCATGATGCATTTTAGTGCACTTTAGTGTATGTGAGTCCCTCACATTGAAACTATTGGAGTTATGACAAAGTTGATGTCTCACACTGCACTGTAAGGCAAAAGTACAGCCCAGCGTTCATCGGTACCTCAAAAACCTAAGAGAATCAAAAGACTAAAGGTTTTATTTATATTATTTACCTAATTTATGTGCGAAGTGAAGAAAACCTGACTTAAGTTGACAGCAACTTGTTACAGTCATTCAGTATATTTTACAATGCTGACACCAATATTTGTGACTGGATTTTGTTGGGGTTTTTTTTGTTGGCTCTTGCATGCACAACCTTTCTAACTGTAAACAAAATGCAAGGGCTTTGGGTTTGTTTTGGTCTGAGATGCTCTAGTGACATCCAGTGGTTTTGATTCTGAATGTTGTGTATAGCAGCTACATGTTTTAAATACATTTAAAATACATCTAAATTTAAATACAGTTGTGACTTGATAATCCAACACTAAATGTAAAACCTTCTTTTATGTCGGATAGCAAGGCTGTCCGATTGTCAAGACGGAGGTCGAGATACAAGGAGGGCTTGATGCTTGAAGTGTAACTTGTTAATATTTATTGTTTTTTAGTTGTTATAATAAATTATATGTAACAAACTACTTATCTATGTATATGGTATTGATCGGCTGATTGTCACAGAAGAGGTGTCTTTTATGGACTGTACCAATTTGTCCTGGGAACATTTCGGATGTTCTAGCTTGTACTGACAGAGAGCTTTTTTCACCGCTGCTGTTATCTCTGTCTGTTTAAGCTTGATCGGTCACTCCATGACAGTGCACGACGTGGTCTGTGACTTCTTGGATGCTGGTGAAAACTTGGTAGATGCAATTTTACATATGATGTCTGGCGTGTAACAGTATCAAAGCTATTTGTTTCTATGACTGACAAGCCCGATACAACCACAGTATATATAGGTTCATAGAATTGCTCAGGTGTCAAAACATGTCACATTGCTTAATACTTCAATGAACTTCAAAGCACCAAACCTATCCTTTCTGTGTTCTATACATGTAGAGTTGTTCACTAACAAACTGATGCAAACCAACTTAATTACTTGGGCAAACTCACTCAATGAGTGGGATTAGTGTATTGTTAGAACACTACGCATCGCTGGATTTCACACCTAATTGACCGGTGCGCTTGTGCACGGGCCCGTCGGTTGACATCAAGGGTAAGTAAATCTGTCGGATTGTTAAGTCAGATAATACGCCGTTATCCTTATTTGTGACATTAATTGTCATGTTGGAGTCTGAATTCAAGGCTGTCGGTATGTTAGGGCTTTTTTTTATGGGTTCCGTTTGTTTTTCCTAAAAACATGTCGGATAGAAAGGTTTTCGGATTGTTAAGGGTTGGAATGTCAAGTCACGACTGTATAAACAACAGAAGCACATTTCAATTTTTTTGTTACATTTTGCACTGAATGTTATGAGCACATATTTTTCTATTGTACAAGAAGATCGGTCTTTACTTCCTTCTGCTACTTACTGTATGTTTCTTTGAAATAACAAAAAGGAGTCATAACACCGTAACTACTAATAGTGCAACGTCTCCCTGACTCTCACCTTCAGCCTCTAGCAGTTTGAGTTGCTGTCCAGTTCGTAGGAAGTACTTCCTGAGTACAACAAAGATCACTGCTAATGGGATGGCAGCGATGAAAATGTATGGTCGCATGATGGAAACAGTGAAGATGGCACCCGTGACGATTAATGTTAGCTGGTGACAGAGAAAAAAAATCAGACCTTAGCTAAATGACAGAAAACATTCTGAGTGTGTACTAGCGCTAATACGTGTTTAAAGAGTGTATACAAAGTTAGCCTTAATACAAAACACTTGATTGTTTTCTTACTTTAAAAAACTGACTGACCATCAGTGTAACATTTGAAAGGTGTTCAAAGATTTTGAAACTTCATCACTCATGTAAAGTATTGACATATTATATTTGTTGGACAGCTAAGTAAAAATCTATGATACAGCTAACATTAACCACATATTCTTGTTAAGCTGAGTCAGCAAAAATCTTTTATATCATTGTCATATTCAGTATCATTTTCCAAACACTTAACCATGCTATCAATACGCATTGTCTTGTTGGCTGTTTGTCAGCTGTACAAGAATGAAAGGTATAAAGGTATAAATGAAAATATGAATGTGATGCATCCAAATGTTTTAATGACTGATTTGTGTTGTACCATGTGAGGCAGCTTGTAGTGGAGGGAATATGTCTTTGTGTAACTTTATGAACATTTAGAAGAGCCACCTTTTGCAGCCTTATAATCCCTAGTTTTGGAAGATTATTATATTACGTAAAGTCATCCATTGTGTTTGGTAATTACCTGTATGAGGTCAAACAGCACCAGAGGCAGCATGTCATCTATGGTGGCCATGTCCTTGGTAAATCTGTTCATGATCCGACCTGAGAGTAGATGAACAAGTTAGAAAAAAAGGATTCCAGGATCTTATATTTAAAGTTCTACATAGGTGGTCTCTTGGGGTCGTATGATCTGCAGCTCTACACTATCCAGTCTTAACTTCTAAAACCTCCTGTATAATATTGTGTAGGTTCACACTGCTGAAACGACCCCTGGGAGTTTCCTGTGTTGATACTGCTTAATCTTGCAGGAAGATCGGGATCTGGGGTGTTTGGAGATCAGGTTAACATCTTGGGTTCTTTGTTGTGTTCCTCAAGCCATTCGTGAGCAGTTTTTACAATGTAGTAGAGTGCGTGATCCTGCTGAGACAGGACCCCAGGTTTCCTTGCAGAACACTGCATTGTAACGACATAATCAGTTCACCTATCAGTGGTTTTAATGCTGTTGGCTGTTACAACACGTAATGGGAACCTGAAAGGACGTTCCTCAACTCTGGACTTGCTTGATGCGATAGAGGCGACTGTTTATGTTCCCTGCACTGATGTAGGATTCTCAAAAGGCCTGAGGGCATGGGTTAGAGCAGAGGTTCTCAAACTTTTTGAGCCACGACCCCCAAGATAGCATCAGCATGTGTTCGTGACCCCCCAAATTTGAATTTTTAACATATCATGAGTGATAAGTTTGAAGATTAAGATTAAAGAATAATGTGTTAATTCCACAGATTCATCTCTTTACATTAACACGTTAATTTTCTTCTTCTTCTGAATGAATGAATTAATTACATTTATTTCAAACAAATCAAAGGGAAAAAAATAAAAACTGAAGAAAATAATTTTAAAAAGAGCAAAAAATAATAATAATATGGCGTAGTCAAATCATCATATTAACAAGTCTGATAAAGGAGTGGGAACAGGTATACACTTTTAATTCTGACATTTATTTGATAAATGAAGGCTTTATTTATCTATTTATTTTACAATGATCTGGCGACCCCCTGAAATGATCTTGGGACCCCCATAGGGGTCCCGACCCCCAGTTTGAGAACCACTGGGTTAGAGTTAGAGGTCGGGGCACATAGAACCCTGGTAACATAACTACAATCGATTCACTCCCAATTTTAGCACTGTAGTGAATGACTTCTTTAGTATGGCATTCAGTGTAACTAAACAGGTGTTTTTCTACAGTTAGTCAGAAATCCAAACAGGTGAATGCTTCAGATGCTTCATTTGGTGGCATTTTAATTGAACAGCAAAGACCTGAAAAAATAAACAAAGCAAAGCACCTGTTTTCATGGTGTTGAGCACAGCCATGGGGGCTCGTAGCACAGCGCTTAGCATCTGTTCATGCAGTCTTTTGGACACAGTAAGTAATGTGTGCACTAAAGGAAGACCCCTGAAGAACCCCAAGGCCAGAACGCTCTCCGATGTGGCTACATAGATGTAGATGATGTAATAAGCACTGGTTGGAGTGACAATAACTGCCAGGTGTACAGGAGGTGATGAGGCATTGGTGTGCTGCTCATCGATGTAGTTGGGTGATGAAGGGTTGGCGCCGTCTCTCCAGATCTCGCTGGTAGAACATGGCAAAGAATACAGAATTAAATGTGAACTGAATTTTTGTTCAGAAACAGACACACATCCACAAAAATTACTTTATTTTTGCGACAACTGTCACAAAAACAATCATGCATTTTGGTTCCTTTATACATTTATTAGAAGTCTTTTAGAAATGTGACAAAATCTACTTGATCAAAAATATACATACAGCAACATTTTGGGGATGTAGAAACTTGTGTTAATCAAATTTTCCTTTTGTCATGGCCTCTTAACCTCTCGTGAGTGATTACAACTGATTACAGCTACTGACTATCTGAGCCAATTTAAATAAAGCCCATTTGATTCACCTATTAGACTGAGCCACTAACACTACAGTGGGAAAGTCTGAGGAGCTCAGCAAAAATCTGAAGAGGCAAATCCTTGATTTGAACAAGTCAGAAAAGTCACTTGGAGCCATTTCAAAGTAGCTACAGATTCTGAAATCATCTGTGCAAACAATTATTTGTTTGTTAGTAAGTCATAAGTGCACGGCACAGCTGTGTCATGATCAGGAAGGAAAATAAAGCTATCAGCTGCTGCTGAGAGACAACTGGTAAGGATGGTCAAAAGTCAACCAAGAATCACCAAAACATTTAACCTAAAAATCATGTAACCTAAAATCATCAGCCAGAGGGTTAGGTCTTGGACATAGTTGGGTGTTCCTGGCTTACACCCCATCAAGAACGTGTGGACTGTATACTGAAGAAACAAGTCTGTGTCAGAAAGCCAACAACTTTAGTTGAACCACACCTATTCTGTCAAAAGGAGTGGTCAAAGATACAATTACAAACTTGCCAGAACCCTCTGGATGGCTAACAAAAGCACCTAACTGTGGTGACAATGACTAAGGGACATTTAACTAAATATTAGCATTGCTTTATGTATATGTTTGACCCAGCTGATTTTGTCATTTTTCCAGAAGACCTATTTATACATCCAGAAAAGAACCAAACTGCATGATTGTTTTTTGTGACAAAGATGCATATGTTTCAATGATTCTGCCTTCAAAAATTAGGAGCTATAGGAGCCATTGAAAACTCAAGACTGCCATGATATGCATAGTCTTTACAAGTGTGTGTCAACTTTTGGTCACAACTGTATGCCAAGTGAAAGCTTGCTGCTGAGATTTGTCTTCTGTTTTAGTTACAGTCTTAAGGAGCATTAAACATGAAACTTACTCAGTAATGAGGAAGATGCCAATGACTGAACCAGCAACCTAGTGGTGAGGAAAAAAAAATCTGTTAGTTAAATTCATACAACTAACAAAGCAACTTCAAAAATGGTTGTGATTCTACCTCAATAACGAAGATAAAGAGGATGAAAATAAGGACATAGACTAAGCTCCTATTGGTGGTAACATAGCGAAGGTAAGTGCTCCATGAGGTAGTTTCAAAGACGTTCTCACGCTCATCTGCAAAGCATTGCTGTAAAAAAAGCAGAATTGCTCTTTTACATACAAACTCAAACATCTTTTGTGACAAAACAAGTGCATATAGTGTATATACTCACAGGATCTTTAATATTGCAGTTAAGAATAGAGATTTTGCTGAAAGTAAAAAAATGTCATGTTGAAAAACCCTACCTCCATGTCTTCTTCATCCACTTCCTCGCTAATGTCATAAACACTGTCCTTGGACAGGCGGCGAGCGTAAATGTCCAGTTCAGATGCCAGGTCGCACTGGGGCGTGATAGATAGCTTTCTCCTGAAGGACGACTGCATCTGTTCTCTGCGCTCATGTCCCTGAGCATTGGTGATGAACGCCAAAACAGACTGGCGTCGCTGCCCATTGAGATGCTGCAACCCATGATGGTACAGGTTACTCCTGGGGAGCACTTCCTCTACTTGATCATCCTCGGGTACTACAGAGAATTTTCTCTCTGAAAGCTCACGAACGCCATCTTCTATCGTCGTGGACTGAGGTGTATTAGCAGTCTGTTGGGAGTTGCCGATGAAGGAGAACTTGCGGGCCGCTGCCAGAGGATTGAGGATGAGTGACTGTTTGCGTTTTTCAGGGTAGCCATCACTCACAGGATGGGTCTGAGATTGAGAACCAATTATTGGAGGTGGTGCCTGGCGGAACGACTGGCGAATTGACTCTGGGCCTCGGAAACCAGCAGTTTCATCAACTGAGACCCGGCGAAGAGTTTCTGTGAGAATGGAGCTGCGCCGCTCAGCGTTGATGTTGTCGTAAGCTTCCAGACCGAGCAGTAGGGAGCTAAAATCTGGGCGTTGGGCCTGCAGTTCTGAAAAGGTGCCGTAGAAGTAACAGTCTCCATTGTGCAGCAGAAGGATTTTGTCTGCCCGTTTGAGATGCTCCAACTTGCTGGTGACCACAATACGTGTCTTGGAGGCCATGAGTTTACAGACACATCTATGATGCAGAAAATGTACACATTAACTTTTAGAAAAAGTCTGACAAGAGTGATTGTTCATTCGAAAACAAGAACAAAATACAGAGTGGAGTGCCATATCTTCAAAGAAAAACCAGTAATTGCAATTAACAAGCTACTCTGTTTATCAACAAAACTACGCTCAGACATCAGACTACACCAAAATTTTAATTCCGTAGAGTGACTTTGGCTGCTTTTCTACTTTGAAAGATGGCCAAAGTCCACATTTCATCAAAGGACAATTTCCTTTAGCTCAAATAAAAAAAGTCCCATTCCCAGGGATGTTACATTGTGATGAATCAGCTTTTACTCACCACAGCCAACACGAGTGTCTTAGGCAAAAAGAGATAACCTTGACCTTGAACTTAAACTTGAGCTTAACCACCCCCACCTCCTCTACATGAAAGACTCTGTTGTGATACACACTTCTCAAAGATCTCTTTCTCTGTCACAATGTCCAGGTGGGTGAAAGGCGCATCCAGCAGGTAGAGGTCAGCATCTTTATACACAGCCCTGAGAGGACAAACACACACAGGGAGTCAGAGAGAAATAAAAAGTTCAAATTTGACAAAAAAATAATGACAAATAAAGAAAAGCAAACCAAAACACACAGAAAGACAAACAGGAGATGCTGTATATCTGAAGTGTGTAAATGAGGAAGTCAGGTTTCTGTGAGAACAAATTACTTCCAGCGAATTTGTACAGTGATGGTAGAAGACGAAACCAATGAACGGCTGCAAATTGATGTCACCCAATAAATAATGTATGGGAATATGAGAATGCCTGACTGTTGTTATTTACACAGAGATTTAATAGAGCACTAAAGCTCTTCTAGGGCTGTAGAAAGCCCTTGACATTCAAATTGAAGACCATAAAACACAACAGTTAGTGCAGGCAGATAGACACACACATAAGAATGATAAGTGAGCCTTAGCAGCTTTGTGAGGTTATAAGTTTGTGCAGCAGAGAATTGATCCTTTACACTGCTGGGAACAAATACTTTAACTGGAAGCACTGCCAAAGACATACAATCCTAAATACTTGTAACTGCCATTTAGTACATGTTTTTATTGGCTTAGAAGTAATGGAACGTCTTATTGTGGAAGGTCTAATAGTAAAGCTCAGTTACACATTAGGGCTCTGAAATGAACCCTGTGCATTTCTTTGAACTCACTTTACCTGCAAAAATAATTGCATTTTCTCAATCAACTACCCATTGACAGATTCTTAAAAACAAACTGTGAAAAAGAACAACCGAAAACAAAAAACTCACTACTTCAGATCTTTTCATGAATTAGAAGTATGACTCAAATCTTTGTCCTATTTCTCAATCATGTTCTATTTCAGATGTTCACAAAACAAAAAAATCAAAATCAAGTCAAACAATGATTTACAAAACAAAGACAGTAATAATAACTAACTGACAGAGGTGGAAGTGAATAAGGCATGTGACAGAAGGTACCTGGCTAGGCCGAGGCGTGCTCTTTGACCGCCGCTGAGGGTCACCCCTCCTTCAATGAGGAGGGTCTTGTCTTTTTCAGGAAGCAATGCAAAGTCCTTGAGAGGAAAACAAGGGGTCAGTGGGTCAAACACATACATGAAGGACAGCGGCATCAATGGTGAGATAAAAATGGCAAAATCACACTGTGAAGCCATGAAACAGCCATTGTAGGCATGAAATGACACTTTAAGAAACTTTTTGTTTTTATTCTACAATTCTTCTGTTCTTATTTCTGGAATGAAATAAAAACTGTTATTTTGTCATTTTAATTTAAAGTTAGGAACATCAGTTAAACATCTAAACTATCAAAGTAACAGCTCTTCACAGGTTATTTAAAGGATTTGGAATTTTCTGCAGCTAAATGTTCATGAATTAAGTAATTTTTGTGAGTCGCAATTTATTAAAATGATTCTAGGCAAGTAAACACAACAATTTCTTGCCCAGAAATAAAGTATGTCTAAACAGAGCACAAACACACACTCCTGTACATGACTTTTACCCATTTATCAAAGCAGCTTGTGTCCATATGGTTACAAAGGTATTATCAGAGATCTAACCACACAAAAAGCACAAGCCACAAATGGAATAGGCACATGAAGGATGCCACAAGTGGAGATATATATTGCATTTGGTGGTAATTGATGGTGAAAGTAGACGCCCACACCAATGAGGATGAAGTGACAGCACAAGTTTATCATCGTTAAAACTACCTACCTTTATAATGGTAGCTTCCTCTGTCCTGATAGGAGCGCATAAGGGATCAAGTTAACAGGTTGTTCAACAGCTTGTTAAAATACGGCAGTATAGTAAAAAGACATGTGTGTCTCACTGTGAACAAAAAGTTCCAGCAGCTAGAGGCTCGAAGCAAAAGACGAGTTTACAGTGTAAAGACCACCCACAGCAGTCTGTCTGGTGCTTTAGAGGGCAACAATAGTGAGGAACTACAGTTACGAACGCACTAAACACCTTGTCTCTGTCTGGACAGATCAGAACTAGCTGTCATTCCTGTCAGTCATTACCAAATATAACCAGTTATCACAGCTGAAATAGTGCATTGGCACTGTTTACAGATGGACAGTGGATAAGTGGAGGCTGTTTTAACAAAATGTCTGAGGAACTGAGGTCTGTCCTGTTAGTCAGTCTGAACACTCACAAGCAAAGTACACACAAAGATTCCCTGTCATTCTTGTCATTTCCACAGAATATACAGCAGAAGTGACAGTGTGAGTCCTCTTCATGGTGCTATTGTTGTTTCAGGTTTATTGACACCTCAAACCACATTTGAAGCCTCTCTTCAAAAACATGGAGATGCCTGTATTGCATGCCGGCATTGTTTGCTGTGACAACATGTTGTGTTTTTGTCAAAACCACTGAGGCACTGTAAGTGCCACAGGAGATGGGATGTGGTAGTCAATAAATATGATGGTGTCACCCTTTGCATGAGCCATTGCGTTGATTTTGGTAAAATTATAGTTTGTGTATTTAAAATACAAACAGAATTTTAAAATGTGACTGATTTGTCAGAATATAACTTTGTTCGTGGTAATTTATGACCATATGTGAGAGTTCATTGCATCATGACAACAACCTGTATTATAAATGTATAGTCCTAATAACTGATATTACGCATCTTTTGGTATCTCAGATCAACATTACAGTCGACATTTACACCATTTATGTGTATACATATGCAGTGTTTTTTTGTGTTTTCCTACTTATTTTGTATTTCTATGAAGATGCTTCTGTCTATATGTATGTTTGGTAAGTACAAACATTTTATAACTTCAGGCTTTCTATACTGTAGTAAACACCAACTTTACTGTCATGTATGCAACATCTAAGTCATGCTTTTTTGCTCAGCCATGTACAGCACATTCAATAATATAATTCAATATGGAAAAACAAGCCTAACAACCCCCTGATCTGATGGTTTGTTCTTCTGGCTCGTTGACATGATAATGTCTGTCACTGGGAACTCGCAGGCTCATATTGCATCCCACTGACATAACGTGAAATTTCCATGGCAACAGAGGAGACATTATTCTGCTGAGGGGCCGTCACTCAACACTGAGGCTTATGAGAGTGTGAGTGTGTGTATGCGTATCAGAGTAAGAGACAGAACGTGCAAGTATGTGTCTATTTGTGTGTGTGTAGGACATAATTGGTTCAAATGTGGACTGTGGAAACCTGAACCTTCTTGATGCCTTGCAGTGGCTCCAAACAGACAACTTAGCAGACAGCATTGGTTCAATGAAAGAGAAAAGCTTGAAAAGATTATTTTACTTCACAAAATGGCTACTTTGAAACACTGAAGGGTTTTTGCAACATTGAGGTACATTTTCACAGCAGTGATGCAGATACTTTGTATCACAGATTGTTAGTGACTCAAAATATTCTCTGCTTACTGACATTTTTACCAGTTGGTTGTACTTTTCACCCTCTGAACAGTGGCTGAAGTCAGCTTTAATTTGTGCAAGCTACCAGTGGTGAAAAAATTTCAAAGCACAAATGTATCAAAATATTGACTGACCTTTTGAAAGTTTTACTGCAGCATGCACCACATCTGTTTTCGTCTATATTTTCAGTATATTCCAAAAACCCATATTTTCTTAGAATATGGCTGACACATCATAATGCGTGGGTCTGTTGATCTTTTGAACACTGAACCTGTTTCTCTGGGCTCCAGCAAACAGTTATTTTTATGCTTTTTATTTTCTTGATTAAAAAATTAGTTGTCTGGTGCATAAAATGCCAGGAAATGGTGAGAATTGTCAATCAGTGTTTCAAAAAGACAAAGATGACACATGTCTTGTTTTTTTCACACCCCAAATATACTCTTTTTATTTTAGAGAAGAAAAAAACAATTAATAAGCTGGTTATGTTTCAGCCCTACTGGTTTTCAGTCATATCTTGGTGAAAGTATGAGTATCTGATGCAGTCCATTTGTATGTGCCAAATGCATCTATTTTCATGACAATATGCATATTTTGATTAAGATTTTCTGGAATTAACAGCAGAGGCTTTACATATAGCAGTTTGTATGAGCCATGACCAATGAAGACACAAATCTACTTTGCCTGCAGAACAGAAGATGTAAAGAAGGTATTGTAGAAATAATTATATAGGACCGTAAAGGTACCTCTTCCAGCTGGCAGGCCTTGATAATTGAGGTGTAGCGGTACTCATCATACGTCAGGCCAAACAGGATGTTGTCGCGAATTGTCCCCGGCATGATCCAAGAAGTCTGTGGTGAGAAGGAAATGCGACCGCTGTGTCTGATTTTACCCTCTGATGGCACCAACTCTCCCAAGATCATCATGAGCAGGGAACTCTGAAGGAAACAGGGAAAGCATAGTCACACTTTACTCTGCTAAATATGTCTTTATTTTAAGGCTTTAAAGATGGTGTTCACACCCTGAATAACCTGTAATGAGTCAGCGTGTTGGCTTTTAATGTCCAAGGACACTTCGGCCAAACATTTTGCGAATGATGAGATCTTTTTTTTTTTTAACCTACCTTCCCTGAGCCAGTGGATCCAGCCACTGCCAGCATCTTGCCTTTCTCTAGGTACAGGCTGATGTTTTTGAGGACAGGTGTGACATACAGGTTGGTGAAGAAGAGTCCAGCATCACCGTTCAGATGTCCATTTGCTTTGTTCTCCTGCTTGATCTTCTCAAACAGCTCACCGATACCCTGCAGAAGATTTCAAAGTCAGAGTCTTCACTTTCTATATCGACTGAATGCACACTTAAGGAATATAAAGACAGTAAATACAAGTGCATGTAGTAAAACATGCATTACTACATTGTATGTAGAGTATATATGCAGTAATATTGGGATCACATTTCTAAACAGAATTTCAATTCAAAATATTTAGTTTAATCTCCATGTTTAATTTCGGCTGCAATTTGTGTATTGTGAATTCAAATTTTCATAATCAAACTCTCATTTTTAATTCATTACGGCGTGCAATTGAGTGTTCTTCTGTGTGTGCTTGTCACGTATGATTTGTGTTTTTCATTTTGTTGACATAACTGCTTGCATCAGGGCTGAGTGAGTGTGCCCGTCATGCTGTGCTTTCAGACAGTGACACCAGGCCAAGCTGCTGTGAGAAAAAAGAAATTCTCGAAAGACAGGAGAAGGCTCCCAGAGTCTCACAATGGCCTTATTTCACCTCATCTGTCACCGTCTCTGTAAAGATTAATGGCTGACACAGCTCACTGTTAGAAAAGGGGAACTCTGCATGACTCGCCAGCTTAATCATTGACCTCTGTGACATTTTATGGGTCACCGTTCCACTAATGGCAGGGTTGGCTCTGGTTTGTATAGTTTGTCTATGTGATTCTTATTCTAATGAGCTGACGTACATGCTGTCAGCAGTAAAGAAAGGCAACACCCCTCCCATTCATCTGCGAATGGCACATTCCAGGAAGAGGAGACGGCAAGAGGAGAATCTGGGAATTAGGAGATGAACACAAGTCTGAATCTCAAAGGGAGATTCAAATTGTTCCCAGCTAAGGCAGAGTTTGATGACAAGTCCAGGACAATTCATTATGCAAAGTGAAGGGAAAAGAAACACAGTCAGATGTTGATTTTCTCATGGTGTTGGGTGGTCAATGAATCACACCTGTTTGAGTAAGTTTACAGCCTCTACCTATAGATAAGATTATACTACCCACTCTCAGTGATAGTGAGGAATTAACTATTATACCTGTAATGCATGGTGGATTTACAGGTTGTAGGAGTTTAGCTTGTTTACATATGCCATTGCTCTGTGATGGTATTGCCACAAGACTGTGTATACAGCCCACAGCGACAGATTCGCGGGCTTAGTACTGATGTTGACATTTGGAAAATCATATACCATCCATCCATCCATTATCTATACACCGCTTAGTCCTCACTAGGGTTAGAATCACCAATTAACCTCAACATGTTTTTAGACTGTGGGAGGAAGCCGGAGAACCCACACTGCACGGTGAGAACATGCAAACTCCACGCAGAAAGATCCCTGTGTCCTTAACAGGATGTGAAGCGGTGAACTTCTTGCTGCGAGGCAATGGTGCTAACCACTGTTACCTTGCAGCCCCAATCATATACCAGTGCTTTTTAAAAAACAAATATATATATATAAATCAGTATGATATTTATCAAAGCTCTTGGATGACTACAATATAGACTTCCAACACTGTTTGGCACACTTTGGCATGTCTTGACAAATGTTTTGACTGATTTATCTAGAGTAAGCCAATATCGGTCAATATATCACCATGGCTATTTTATTTCTGTATTTTGATCTCCACTGCTCCTTGTGATATTAATACATAAAGAAAGAGCTGTATATCAGCATCAGATTAATGCTAATTTTATTATGGTCAGCTACCAACGTATGAGAAACCACTGTCTTAGATTTTAATTTTTAAATTTTGTTTGGCTTTAGAACAAATGAAAATTCAGCATGAGCAATTTTGAAATTTTAAGAAAGACAGTTCAATTTCATTCCTACCTAAATTGATTTAAGACTTTGTTCTATTGAGTAGCCAGGATCAGCATGGCACTTAAAAGACAGATTCAACCTAATTACAAAGTCATTGTGTGAGTGCTTTCTTAACAAAAACACCATTTTATTTCAATATTTTGTATGTCTGTCTGTATTTTTAATGACAGACTCAATCCTCAAGCTGCCTGTTGAAGGAGGGGTTGTGTTGCTCTATCATTTTCTTTGAAATACCCCAAAGGTGTTCTGTTGGATTCAAGTCAGGTGTCATACTTGTCCAGGTGATAGTGTTCACTTTTATTTTCTCCAGAAACTTTCACAGGATTTTGGCAGTGTTCAATATGTCATTATTATGCTGGAATATTCCTCTTCTACGAAGCTTTTGCAGACTGGGAGACATCTTAGCAGCCAGTATTCCGGTATATCCACAAGTATTTATTGTGCCATCTATAGCCCCTTTAAGGCATTCACTCATTTCCATTATAAGCATCATGGTGACTTTTCCTTGATTGTTGCAACAACAATGATGCTAGGTCAGACAGAGCAACCTTTTCATATCACGTATCACCTGCCGTGCAGATCTGATGAGCAACATAGTTTTGGTAGTTACTTTGATGAGGTCATGTTTTATCGGATACATACATGTAACATTCGCTATGTATGAACCAGGATTATAAATGTCACCTACACTCTACTATCCAACACCTTTTGCTCTTCTGTAGTTCCCTATCCTCACACTCCCACCTCGGTGCTTCATGCATTCATTGTGATAATCCCAGCTACACTAAACATGCTAGACTCTATCGAGCTGTACACATTTATCTTGGTCTCACCTAATCAAAGAATGTGCTTCCTATATTTACTGGGATTCTCTTAATCTTACGCACAGTTTCCTTTGGCAGTTTTGTGCTGAAGGGCAGGCAAGGGTTTTTGTCTTGGAAATCGTCCATAGAGATTGACATTATGAGGTGCTCTTGTACAGTAAGTGCTGTCACAAAAACTCTATTTCACCTTGCCAGTACAATTTTCATCAATTTACATAATAACAAAATGGTTTTTCTATTTTTGATATTTTGACACCAGAACATTGTAACATTACAAAGGGAGATATATGGTGCCAGGTCATTATCAAGCAGAGGTATGCATTTAAGGGTTAAATCCCTTGCGTTAAAACACACTAAGATATGCATCCCCATGTGTCTCGATGTCTTAATACCAGATAACAGATAATAAGAAGCAGTGCCCTCAGGTACCAGATAAACGCTTATTAAAAGTAACTTAAGTGTGCATTCAGGATTTGCATGCAGACACAAACAAACCTCATCCCAGGATGCAGACACATTGACCAATTCCAGTTCAGTGGTGGTCAGATTGTACTCCAGCCCTCTGTGTTCTTCCTTCGTTAAGAATTCCTGGAGAAATAAAACACATGCAGCAGATTATCAACATTTAACTTTATCCTGTACCACTTCATTTTTCTGTTGCGTGCTGGTGAAGGCCTGCAGCAAAACTGGAAAATCTGAATTCATTATAATGATAAGCATCATTTAATGTCTATATTGTATAACTTTTCTAGCAGCAGTTAGGGCATCCAAATGATGAGCACCTATCTCATCCCCATTTCACAACCTACCTCAATCTTCTTGACGAGTGCCAGTGTGTCGTACCACATCTGGATGGAACCCGGGAGCTGGCGGGTGAGTGTCATTCGTAGCACCATGCAGTAGGAGGCTGTTGTGAAAATTCGACGCAGGATGATGCCTCTACTGAGAGCATGAGGCACGACAGCTGCCACAATGACCAAGATGGCAGAGAAGAAGTACGAGGCACTGTAGAAGTACCGCAGAGAGCCGATCTTCCTCGTCAGTGTCACCTCATCCCTGAGAAAGCAAATACACAGAGAAGAGGAAGAAGAAAGAAAGGAGCTAAGAATTTAATTTTATGTGTATATCTGTGTTTATGTAAAAACAACAACAACAACAAAATCAATAAAAAGAACCTGGCAAGCCTTTTGAGCTGCTAATATTATGTTTCCATGTGAGCTTTGGTCATAGATATATTAGGGGGGACTGGATATAGTGTTCCAAGATGGCACCTCATTTAATTAAATAAAGGTATCTTAGGAGTGCAATTGGTACACTACAGCAGAGAAGCAAAAGTTTCCAAACTGTAGAAGGGAAGCATCAGTTTTTAAAGGAGGGTTAAGTATTTTTTCTGGTGTGCCTGATAGAAAAGATTTGGAGGTTACATATAGTATGCAGCACAGGGAAGCTTGTGTTCATATCTCCAAACAAGCTTCTTTCTGTCCTCACTACTGTTAAAGCAAGTCTGAACTTATCAATACTTGGCTTTATGATGCTTTAAAGACTTTTAAAAGTCAAAATTTCATCATGTTATCCCAAAAGGTATTTGTGTGACACTTTGTCATGACTAACATATGGTTTCTTGACTTTTAACCAAATGTGTTTCATGAGGTCAGTCACAGTGACTTTAGACGGATAAAATCTACTCAGTTCATTGTTGAGTTCAAGTTGAAAGTTTGTGCCAAATTTGAACTGATTTCATCAAGGTTTTCTGTCAAAAATGATTAACAGTTAGAACTCTTCATATTCTGTGTGCGCATATGATTTGACTTACTGCCTGATGTTTTTGATGATGGTCTCCATCACCTCCTCCCAGCCATAAGCCTTCACAGAGTGAATGTTCTCTACAATCTCTGAAGTGAGAGCCAGGCGGCGACTGATCATCCCTGCTCGCTTGACCCTGTTCACACAAAATTCTTTTACATGAACACAGTACAGTTTCACAGAAGCATCAACATACATACAGTGCTTTCATTAAGCATTCAGGCCCCTGAATCATTTTGTTATGCTGCAACCTAATGCTGATTTTTTTTAAACTATTTTTCCCCAATCAGTCTATACTCAATAACTAACGATGAAGCAATCATTTAAAAAAATTAATAATCTAAATTCAAAAATGAAAACATCACAATGACACAGGTATTGAGACCTTTTACTTTGTACTTAGTTAAAGCACCTCGTCAGGGACTACGGATTGATTCTTTGTGGGTATGACGTGACTGGCTTTGCACATGTGGATTTGTGTATTTTTTGCCATTCTTCTTTGCAGATCCTGTCAAGTTCTGTCAGATTGGATAAGCACCATCAGCTGACAGCTAGTTTGCGGTCTCTCTAGACATGTTAGGTTGGGTTCAAGTCAGGATTCTGACTGGACCTCAAAGACATTCAGAGCTGCCCCTAAGCCACTCCAGCATTGTCTGGGCTGGTGACTGTCCTATTGGAAGGTAAAACTTTGGCACTGTCTAAGGTCCTAACTAAGGATATCTGTACTTTGCGCCGTTCAGCTTTCCTGAAATCCTGACCAGTTTCACTGTTTAATGTGTGTTAAACACTCTCACAGCATGATGCTGCCATCCCAGCACTGGGACAGTGTTGGCAGGTGAGGAGGGGTGCCTGGTTTTCCTACACTTTACACTAAGAACTGAGGTGAGACAGTTCAGACTAGAGAATCTTGTTTCTCATAGTCTGACATCCTTTACATGCTTTTTTGGAAACTCCAAGTTAGCTTCCTCAAATTTCTCACTGAAGAGAAGCTACCAGCAGTGCAGCCCTGCAAGGCCAGTTGTCCTTCTGGAAGTTTCACCCAGCTCCACAATGGAGGAGACACAGGGCCTTCCAGTTTCTTGGTCACCTCTCTTACCAAGACTTTTCTCTGACAGTTGCTTAATTTGGCTGAGCGGTCTGCTCTTCCTGGAGCCAAATTTCCAAATTTCTTCCATATAAGAATTATGGAGGCCATTGTGCTCTTGGGAAACTTGAATACAGCATACATTTCTGTAGCCTTTCCCAGATCTGTGCCTTGACACAATTCTGTCTTTGAAGTCTGCAGGTAGTTCTTCAGGGCTTTGCTTTTGCTCTGATGTGCATTCAAAGCAGTGGCGATAGGTGTTTAACTTTCTGAATCATGTACATTCATTGAATTTATCACATATGGACCCCTATCAAGAAACACCTCAAAGATGATCAGTAGAAAGGCACCTGAGCTAAATTTCAAGTATTTTAGGAAATAGTCTGACTACTTTAATCAATTAATATATTTGCAAAAATTTCTAAAATCTACTTTTCATTTTGTCATTATGGGCTACTGAGAGTAGACTGATTAGAGGAACAATGTAATGTATTTAAATGATTTTAGCACGAAGCTGCAAAGTAACAAAATGTGGAAAAAGTGAACAGAGTCTGAATACTTTCTGAATCAACTTTACATGTATAGATACTTGGGTACATACAGTGTAAGGATGTCAGAACTTGCAGGCATACATGTACAAACATTCTTAGATTTAAGCTTATGAATGCACCTGTATTGAATGCATCTCCATGTTATTTTCACATCTGTACTGTATGTGTATGTATGGTATAATTGTAAATGTGCAGCAACATAAAACTACCTGTATAATATGTATTTCGTAACAGTTTCTTAGACAAGAAATTGCAAAGTGACAATCTGAAAAAATATGTTTCTCCTGAATGTTTTAAATCTTCAGAGAGCAAAGGTAAAACACAAAACAGAAAGTTGGTTGTGATATACAGTATATGTCCAATGTTGTGAGTGCACATGGTGATGCTTCCCCACCTGTGTGGTCCCATCTTCTGGGACAGCCAGGCCTGGATGATGCCCAGCAGCGTCAGAGCTGCCAGGGTACAGAATCCATTCACATCAATCAGCTCCCAGAGCAGACCAACACACAGTATACACTGCAGAGGGGTGATCCATACAAAGTGGGCCAGACCCAGACTCTGCAAAACACACACATAGTACACAGAGATGGCCTCAGTGTGTCCAGAGTAACTTGAACATAACTTTTAATATAGAAGTAATATTGTACTTTCCAGCAAGAAAATATTATGTTGCCCTTGACCACAGTGAGTTCAAAGGTCACGTTCAAGGAACACTCCACTGAAGGCCTTGGTTTTGCGTAACATACATTTGCTGCCTTGAAAAGATGCCTGACAGGTTAGCATAGGACAGGAACTCTGGTTAGCACAGATCAAGAGTGCTAACAACAAACAGAAATTGTGCATCAAGATATATTTTGGTAAAAACATGAGGGCTTGAGACAAACTGGCCATACAGACAGAAAATATAATAAGTAGGTTATGCTATACAGTGGTGCTTTAGGAAGAATCAGCCTGACATTCATTTGTTTTTATACATAGATGTATGCTTTTCAGGGAGTATGCATGATTCTCTTTGTATGTATGAAATGTACTTGCATATTACATTTAAATATATATGCTACTTCATTTGAGATGTCTCTATGAAAAGTTTCCTTTTTTGCAGTGGACAAAAGGGTCACTGTAAGTGCTATAAAATGAAGCAGTCTAAAGAGTCAAGTCAGCAACACTGCATGTTCTCATGGCAATATCAACTTTAACCAGCACAAGATATTGAACTTGGTCCAGGTTTAAAAGAAAGCCACGTCAACCATTGTGGGACACTTTTGTCCACATGCTAAGATACACCTTCATTGATCTGAGTCAGGTGTATGGTGAACCACAGAGGAATTACACAGTATTTTTGCTGAGTTGCAATGTCACAGATTAGGTTGTTTAACTGTTTAAGTTTCAGTTTTTTGGAACACAAATTTGGTAAACCCTTTCCTGCATAAAATGTTTGCAGTGTAGCATAATGAACACGTACCAGAGACTATAAAGACTATAAAACACAAGACAGCTTGAAAAAATGCAAGTGCAAAGAAAAGAAGCACTGCATCAAACAAACAAGATAACTTTCTCCTTTGAAGAATCCACTCTTATTGGCACTGTGCTGATGAATCTCAGTTGTGCTATAGGTGCGACACTCAGTTCTCACCTCAGTAAGCTCCCCTCCATCCATTCACCTGTACTCACCTTTCTGCCTTTCATCCAGTGTGCACACACAACCAGACAAAGTTGCCTCAGGCAAGCCCAATCCAACCAAGGTGATAATTGTCACAAAGCAGGTTGCAGAGTGTTTTTACATTCAACACCTCACTGAGACCCAAGGCAAGACACAGTTCAGCCAGCACACACTCATGCACACCCTCCAGCTATGTTGTCTTGTATAATCACAGCTATGCTTTCCAACACTGATGCAAAATTAACATGTTGCTTATATACTAACACCAAGTTGTGTTTGTTTGTATATGCGCATGTATTGTTCCACATCTATTGTCCTCTAATTGCCTTGCAGTAGTAGGAGCATTGAGTAATACAACTGATTCATTGAACTCAGTGAGGGTGTGAACTGCCAGTCCTTATTTCCCTGAAAAAAAAAAAAAAACCCTCCCAACAACGTATGAGTGGAAAACTACTGTAGTTTTCCTCCTCTCACATTTCACTTGGCTTCACTCCCCATTAGTGAGAGCCCAGAATTTATAACTAACTAAAATTTCCATGCTCCACTGGTTTCTAATTAACTTCTTTTAACTAACTGTGGAAGTTAATCCACATTAACTTCACGTGAATGATGATAAAAAAAAATACAATATAAAATGGCAATAAAAGGTGAGTGTTCCTTGTAGCTGCCAACTTATTCAGTCAGTATATAATAGGTACCTTACACATGATTTTGCCATGTTTTTTGGAGCACTTGTATCGAAACTACAAGAGATTAGTTGTGAATGGAAAAGTAAAATGAAAAGCTGCTTCCAAAAATATTATTGTGTAACATAAAGTCAATACAATTCTCAATACATAATATTTAATTTAGAAACAAGTCACGTCAGTTGTGGAAAGAAAGTCCTCTCATTGATTCTGAATAATAAACTTTTTTCCTGAGAAAGGGTTCATGTTTCTCACCTCATCCAACTTGTTGAGGTGGGCAGACATCAGACTAACCAGCTGACCTGTGCTGATCTTATCCAACACTCGGCTGGACAGCTTCAGGGTCTAAAGAAGGTCAAAGGTCACAGGTCAGTTAAATCACAAAAGGAGAAAGTGAAGTGGATGAGGGGAACTCAGTGATACGTAGCCAAGCTTTGACACCGGGCTGCCACGCCCCTCACAGCCGCCTGCAGATTGCTACTACTGAACTTTCGCATGTGAGAAGCATTTTGGGAATGTTCAGTCACGTGCGCTGAACAAGTTGGAAGCATTTAGCTGATGATGCACCCGATGTAATCAAATAAAAAAATCTAAATAAAAACAATTGCAATGGTGTTACTATCTTGTCAGCTGGATTGTTTTGTTTTGTTCTGACAATTATCACAGGAGTGACCAAAAGTAGTCAGTGTACAATTCATGTGTTATCAGCAGCACAGTGCCACTGGCTGCAAGGGAGACTTTACACTTGCTCTTCACAACAGTTCAGAGGCAAACTTTACACGTTTCGCCCTAGTTATATTGTAGATTTTTAAAAAATTAAAAAGGAAAAAAAAAAAATCAACAAAAGGAATATTTATTAGAGTCAGAAACTGTTAAAACAGAAAGAATCATTGATTTTTCCAACTTTTCAATGGTCTTTGAACCTGTTGGAAAATGGAAAACTTAATCCAATAAACTGTGATATTTCTTTAGAAACACTTGTCTCATTTAAAAATTTACCAATAATTTAACCTTTTCTTCTAACCAGATTTGGCAAAAATCCAAAAATTCCCTTGTTCATCAGCACAACGGAGAATCAATGACTGAATGACTCTGCTGCAACCAATAGTCATGCAACAAAAATGTAACTATCCTTTTTTTCTTTATTCTGAATAATGGTATTATAACTGTGTCATATTGTACAGGAGCCATGTTTGAGTTCTTTCCACTTCTAGTCCTGGTTGTACAGTTTCCACAGAGGTGCAGGACTTTATATCGTAGTAAATAAATGAGCTCATGGTGAGTACAAATGTGACATGAGGAAAATATGCGCAGAAACTGTTTGGAGTTCAGAGGGTTAGTATCACTGCTGAGTGGTTAAAATTTTCTTTTGAGGTTTCAACAAAAAAAATAAATACACATTTTGCATGATGAAAATAAATGTTAAATACATTTAAAGACCTTACAAACTGTAACTTGGCTACATGTGTCCCAGTGCTTAAGCCTTAAGGTCTGTGTAGGTTTCACACAAATCAAGAAATAATAAAACCTGAGGTCTATCAATCTATGCTGTCCACCACTTACCTTCTTGTATATAAGACTGAAAAGGGCGATGCGGATCTGCATACCCAGATGATGCAAGCCAAAGATAGCAGGCTGCAACAGGAGGAAGCGGGCGGTGAAGAGGAGGCAGAGGCCCAGGGCCAAGAAGTATCCCTGGCTCCGCTCCGGAGCATGGAACGGGTCAAAGGAAGCAATGATGCGACCCAGAAGCTGAGGTTGCACCGTCTTGGAGGCCTCCTGCACCAAGAGATGGGACAAGAAGTTATTACCTCAGCAGACAAGCGGTTTTAGAGTGGTTTTTGTTTTGTTTTTTTTTGGTGTCCTTTCAATCATAGTTCCCGACCAAGGGATACACAACACTAATGTCATTCACAATTACAAATTACAGCAAAAAAAACATTTTAGGTGACAAAGCTAACTTCAATATAGGTAGGCAATTCTATTTTTTGTTGTTTTAAACATGAGATAAAAGAAGAAAAAAAAAAGTTGCATAATTTAGAAAAAAAACAAATCATGGACTTATGTCTTGATTTGGACTTTCCCCACTGACCAACATGGTCAACACAAGAAGACATCAATGTCACTATTTTGCATTTCACTGTGACCTAACTATGAAACTGTCAAATATCTACAGTAACAACATCACACACCAGGACACTGTGCTGGCTTCATTACGATCTTTCACCAAAGCTTTTCTGTTTTCTCACAGTGTCTCCTAAACATCTAACGGGCATTCTTGTTGTCAAGACAACCGGCTCCGACTGTACTAACATACACAATGGCTGTGGTTGGCACCTTCCCATAAGTTTGGGACAGTGAGTTGGTTGCGACACTATGGTGCGACATGCCTGTGAGGTTCATACGTCATTGCACAGCAGCTTTATTAGCCGTCTCCAGCAGGATAGAAGTGTTAACAGGTACAACACAGAACCACATACAGGTGGAGCTGGCAGTAGTGCAAGTGACAACAGTGTTCAAATGAACGTAGCAATGGCCTGATACTGTATTTACTTTGTACTCTGTTTACTGAAAAACATTGATTCTGAATTTGAGCAATTTCAGTGTGAAGACATTACAGTCTTATTGTGTGGTTCAAGTGTTAATCAGAATTTCATTGTTCATAGTATAAATAAGTGTCTCAGGAAAGATTTATACAACGTCACATTAAACTAATCAATAATTACTGAGGAACAAAACTGTGTTAGTGTAAAATAAATGAAAAAATATTTTCTAGATAAAAAGCTGGATTATTTTTCAGTTTATATGTAGTATATAACCATTTATTAAATGTTTTTTGGAGTTTTTAACTGCTGGTTTCTAACATGTTGTAAACCCAATATTTAAACAACTAATGTTCAAAATAACAAGATTAAACCGAGTACCTTAATTACTACTGTTAGCTACACACCTACTTGTGATGGGCTGCTGATATGCCCATGGGGTTTCCCTACCTCCAGTGTTATGTGGGGTGAGATATGCTCAACTTCTCATGATGCTGTGTAGTCAGCAGAGAAACTACATGGATGTTTTGTTGGATGGACACATGGACAGATTTGTCAAACAAACAGGAGCATTTCCATGATATGAGAGTTGGATAACCATAATAGGAAAACAATTGATATTTAACAGTGTTTTGCTTTAGAACACTATTACTGTAATTCTTTTGGATTTGAACCTGAATTGTTGAAGCAAATGAAGTGCCTTTAGATGCACACCCACCAATGAAACTTAGTTAATGACCACAAAAACCATGAATTATACTTGCAAAGTATTTTCAAAGTCTAAATAGGTCGTTTCATTCATAACAATGTGTGTTTCATAGGTTTGCTTGATTGGCAAGTGCATAACAGTTGCTTGTCTCCAGCCACTTTCAGTAAATCAAAGGGGAAATGGCAAGTTGTATATCCAATTTGAGGTCTGTAAACATGTCTCTATAAATTTCTACCAATACTTCACTTCACACTGCGGTTTCTGGTTCAAACTAAAAGTTTATTCCATCTACTTTAACTTCAAACTAAATCTAATTTGTATCTGAATGTGACAAAAATGACAAGCTGTGGTGTGCCCCATTAAGGCAGAATGAATACATTTCACAGTAAAACATATGTGAGATCTGCTTTCTTCAGAGAGGACAGATCGACAGACTCACCCCGAGATATAGGAGGACACCAAAGAAGGCGAAAGGGCAGAAGAAGCAGCGGGCCAGTGCTCTCATCAGCCTGGGCTTGTTCTTGGCTGACGCCACCTCCCTGTCCCATTCTCTGAGGGAGGGCAGAGTTACAACACAGTTAAACAGCGGTGCAGGCAGAACGAAAGAACACACACACCAGCCAAATGCCAGCAAAGTTTGGCCATGGTTGTTCTATTTGTCTACTACTACTCTGGCAACGAACCAGCTGTCCAGACTTTAAGAGTCCTTTCCACAACTTTGTCTAGCGATAAAGTCATAGAACAAGAAGCTGTAGTACATTTATTTGTTTTTATTTTACTTGGTTATTAATTGACAGGAAACACATTTACTTGTGGGGGAGGGAGGAGACCAAAAAAAACCCAAAAACATTTTATTTCTTTAACAGATTTAAAGATTTGTCAGTGTTATTATTTTGACAAACTGGATATTGCCTGCTGTAGCTTTGTTGGACACTGTTGGATTAACTTCCCACAACTGTTTTGGCAAGCGGGTTCAGCTACAGTAAGTATCTGCATTGTTCTCTGAGGGTCATTTATAACCAGGGTGATCTGGACAAGCAGTTCAACAGTGAGTCATGGGAGCAGTGGAGAAGAGAAAGGATGAGTGAAAGGGGAAGAGGAAGAAAGTGAGACCACTGAGGAAGACATACGTGGACAACCTGTGTAGGTTTGCTGATCATATTTTACAGAGTATTTGTCTCAGTTTGCACACAAACATAACAGTGGTAGGAAATGCACTGATCCAATCTGACAGTTCAGTATCCACATTAAATGTGGTTCCTTCATCAGTGCCATTAAAAATTCAGTGTTTCCATTTTCTGTTACATTCAGTCAGTTATGGCAAGCTACCAATTCAGCTTTTAGCATTACAGTAATCCCTGGCCACATGTTATCTTACATAAAATGATTCCAATGAGTGCAAGCCAGAGAAGTATACAAACCTGGATTAGTACTCTGTGCCAGCAGGTATTGAGTCAAGGTATCATTGGGGGGGAAATTGGATCAATCAATCTCTGCACAGGCAACAAAATATGGCCAAAAGACACAACATTCCCAGTTTACAAACTCTACAGAGAAATGCCCAACGTTCCCATATGACTCAAAACAGTTGTGATTTCTAGGTGAATCTTGGAACATACATCCATGGTGTGTGCTCCTTTATGTAAAGGTAAAGGGAACACACTGATGTCCTGTTCATAAATTACTCACTTCCTGCCCACTTCATGCTGGATTAGGCAAGGTTAAGCCTGCAACAGTGTGTGTAAATACAACATGTACGGATCCTGTCTTTGAAAACATTGTAATATCGTCTTTACGTTTTGACATTATTGACTATTGTGCATCTTATATGCATCTTTACATTAATAACGGTTGTGGTAACACCATTATAAATGCTTTAAATTTGACTGAAAATTGAGACTTGGAATATTTCTATCTCGGTGTATCCTTTTTATGCCAGCAAACCACAGTGACTTGAGCTGAACCGGGGGTGATGAAAAGGCTGACGGTACACAGCATGCTTTAATGGAAGATAAAGTTCACATTCCCAGAAGTCCTCACTGTTTGCCTGATCAGAATAATGAAAGCAAAATCACCAACCACTGCTCATTTATCACCTGGTGGACACTGGGCCCTTTCTAAAGGTCGACTTTTTAACACCAATATACATTAACTGGTTTGTTGGCACCATTCAGCATGACGAGGGCCCCTGGTGACTGAGTGGCAAGGCCAGTGTGGGACATAGCTGTGGTCAATAGGCAAGGCAAAAAATAAAAAGGGAGAAAGAAGCATGGTTATTTAATCTTTGGGGTAACATCAAACTTCTGCTTTCTTTCTTTCTTCTTTTTTTTAAAGATAACATTTGTCTAAGATGTGGCATTTGCTTATTGCTACAAGAACAGGAAAATAAACAATGAGGGAGAGGAAGAGGAAAAAGAGATAAATGGAAAAGAGAATCTAAATAAGAGAAAAAAGACAAAAAAGGAAGACAAGGTGTTTGTAGATTTCAGAAGGCTCTTGTAGCTAAGCATAACAGGTAATACTATTTTAAAGCTATAAATGAATTAATTTCAAGTTTTTCAGTGACTGGTCAGTTGTTCTGTTCTGTGAAGATTAAAGGCATTTTAACGTAAGGGAATAGAAGTGTGGCTACAGTGCCAGAGAAGGAAAAGCAGGTGAAGAATGAGAATGAAACAGTGGCTTGGAGAGACAGGGAAATAGCGAGATCAAAAAATAAAACACATTAAAAGTGAAAGACAGATTTTTATGAAGAAAAACACAAGCTAACCTTGTCCATCATGTGTTGCCTGGCTGTTTGTTGGCACACACAGGTTTGGTTTATGTCTAGCCCAGTTTAAATGCCAGCCCATATTTTAAGTTGACTCTGAAGAGAGGATGGCCCATGGCCTGCTGCTATAAACACATGTAAAGGTGACATCTGAAAAACATCAAGGCTACAAATGTCTAGGGAACAGCTTGTCTACAAATTTACCTTGAATAAAGGATTTATTCATCATGTAGACTACATGCACATATTGGACATACCACTGTGCTGTACATGCATGTACATGTTACATGTAAATACTGTCAGTAATGGCAGTCACATTTCATTTTATGAGTTCCATACATGGCTGTTTATTGGGCCATTGAAATGGGAAGCCATTTTTCACTTTCATAGTTACACCTGTGCTTTTGACTAATCAAAATGTCTGCAGCTATAAAAGAACAATGTTAGCTGACTTGCTGGCATTTTTTTTCTATTCCTTCATTGAATTTTGCTGCAAAATGATGAGAAAATCGATGTTCTTAGCCAAAGTTTTAGATGGACGACTTGTTTGCTGGCGTCACTCTCTCGGCACTAAAAGCAATACACTTACCAAGCACTTTAACAGGAGCACTTTAATAGGAACACTTGTACACCTGTTTATTCATGCAGGTCTCCAGTGTCCAGGGGTAGAGCTTCAGCTAATGTCAACATCAAGCATCAGAATTGGGAAACAAATGTGATTTTTGTGACTTTGTCTGTGCCAATACTGGTTGGTGGCAGATTGGTCAAACTGGTTGGAGCTGATGGGCTGTGGTAGCTCAGATAACTATTCTGTACAACTGTGGTGAGCAGAGCATCTCAGATTGTTGAAACTGGGGGCAGATAGGCTACAACAACAGAACACCACCTTGAGTTCCACTCTTGCCAGCAAGGAACAGAAATATGAGACGGCCGTGGCCCCAGGCTCACCAAAACTAGATAGATGAAGACTAGAAAAATAGCAAGGACATGGTTGGCTACAAATTTGATGTCAACTGCATGAATCCATGGACCCAACCCAACTTGTGTCAACAGTGGCGGTGTAATGATGTGGGAATATCTGAGCATTGCTGCTGACCATATGCAGACCCTTATAGCCACACCTGACCATTTTCTAATAACTACTTCCTGTTAATGCCACAAAACAAAAGCTGTCCCAACTGATTTCATTAACATGACAGTGAGTTCAGGGGACCTCAGAAGCCAGGTTCCCAGATCTGAGAACATCATGGAGAGGTTGCTGAAAAAGAGATGAATGCATGTATGTGCAGTGGATAAATCTGCAGGAATTAAGAAAAAATGTAGGCTGTTTTCAGAGTAAAGAGAGAAGCCTACCGAGTATTAGTATAGAGTTTCTAATGTATTTTGAGAATACATGACACTGTTGAGTTAGCGCTCAGTGTGAAAAGTGCCACACCAAACAATAAAATGCCATTTAAACATGTTGATATGGGTAAGGATGAAATGTTTTCCCTTTGTAGATCACCTTATTAATAAATTTAAGGTTAGGGTATGTATTTGTTTTCCTCATATGGAAAGTTTTATTGTCAAATCTGACTCTTCATTTTTACTTTATATCAAACTACCAAACAGGTGACAGTCTCATGTTGGTGTCAACCTCTCTTACATAATGATGATATCTGACTGACATGTCAGATGCAGCAATGCACCATTTACACGCCAAGGACAAAAAGACAGCATTAATCCAATACAGCTGGCACTTTGTTTTATATACTGATACAAGCCAGATAACTCACATGTGAACAACCAAAAAAAAAACAAAGCATCTTTGAAACATTGCATTTTATCTGCTATAACTAATTGAAATGTTATAACACTTCCCCTTGATGTGCCTACCTGATGTTTCAATTTATCACAGAATTATATATCTTCCTATGGCCTGATGGACGGTCAGGTAAAGAGAAAACTAATACATTTTCTCTTTATCAAGCTGAGGACCTTAAGGAACAGCACTGCAATGATCCCTGATGTGTCATGACTTACTGTGCAAAGCTGTCAAAGTGTTAGAATGAGGGGCAAACTACTTCTTCTACTTCATAAACCAGATCTCCTTGAGTCTGGACCACAGCTTAACTATGTCCAGTCAGTGGGCTGGGGTGCACAAACCTTTCAAGTCTCTCAGAGAGGTTGTCTGCTAGATCAAACGAAGGAGCCTTGTATACATCTGTTAGCTCCAACTTCTTCCTGAAGCCCTTCCTTAAGAGTGGTGATGTCCACCTGCATGAAAACCAAACATTAAAAAGAATGTTGGATAAGAGAGAAGAGAAAAAATGTTTGTATACAAGAGAATATGCTAATAGATAGTGTTCGACATACACAAAACTGCTGACCAAATCTACCTCCATGCATATACATGTATTTAACAGTTACTGGAACCCTGACAATACATGATCTTGTTCCCTTCAGCTGAATGACACGGTGTACACATAGTCTAGTATACAACAATACATTTTAGATTTTGTTGAAGACAATTGAAAGATTATATTAAACTGTACTTGTTTGTGTTTGGTTAGAGAATACACCTTTGTCATAAAAACCAGGGTTAGTGTCTGGAACCCACAATGTGAACTTGTGTTAGTTGTAATATAGGTAATCCTTGAGGTCTCACAGACAGGCTAATGACAGAGGAGGGAGGCAAACTCAGATGTTTGCTGGTACTTGTGTCTGAATCATTCACTGAATTCTCAGGTGACATAATTAATATAATTGGACTTTTTTTTTTTTAAGTGTGCATCTTCTTTTGGAGCCTTTCAGAGGATAAAGGACATAATGCATGGGTGAACCCTTAATACTGTAGCGCAATTTTTGCCTGGTAATGTGCAAATATATCAAGTGGGAAAAAAATACAAACATTGAACCACTGCAATTCCAGTACCAAAGCCCATATTCATACGCAAAATAATAACTTAGGGCAAGATTGGTAATTTGTCCAACACTTGTCCATAATATCATTGTGGAAAATAATGAGATTCTACTTAATGTGAAAGACCATTAGCAGCTTCTACTAATACTGACGACTTAACATGGTGAAGAGTGTCCACCTCCACTTGCCAGTGTCTCCCACAACACACCTCAATGGAGCACGAATCACATTTGGAGCACTGGTAAAACGCCACATGCGCATTTTAAGCGACATAAAGGAGGTGCTGTAACACTTATTTGTAGAGACATTATGTAAAGGACAGTTTCTATCAGCGACTAAAACACTGCACTCATTTCCTGTCAAAGCACAACAGCACATGCAGATGGTCAATGCCAGCATGAGTGGACTTCCTAATGAGTTCAATGGTTCAAAACAATCATTTTCTTCATTTCTTCACGTTTTTTTTTTCTTACAAAATAACTCATGTCACCCACGTTTTCTTACCTGTTCAACGTTTTAACATTTATCACGATCAAACGTCGAACCGCGTAGAGCCAGAGAGCTGCAGCAACTGTTGCACTTATTGGCAAATTTATTGATCTATATCATTCATCTCACACGCGCGTCTCCAAATGACAACGTGAAAATATTGTCCTATTAAATTCCTAAAGGTCGTGGTTTTTTTAAAAAAAATTTCTTAAAGCCCATCCATAAATGTGATTTTTGCGCAATCTTTTCATTATGCTCTGGACACAGGGAGACAATCATGGAGACGCGCGTGCACCTTGCCATCCAGGCACAACTCCTCGGATAAACAATATAGACAAAGATTTCTTACCAGAAGAAAAATTTGGAGAGGAAGTTCGCATCTTCCACCGGTGACTTCTGCATCCTAAGAGCGAAGCCAGTTTGGTTTTTCTGCACCTGAGTGTCCCTGCGCGCCGCTTACATTTGTGTGTCCCCCGAGTAGCTCCGTTCCCACAGACACAGAGGGGATGCTCAACTGCTTATCCTCCACTTTGTGCCTGCGCTAAAAGTGATGTCACTGTTCACTATTGTTCCTCTCCCAAAGCTGAAAATGGGACTCTGCCCCCTGCGCGTCTCCCTGCTCTGACTCTCCGGTCACACTGACTGTCCAGCCCCTGCAGCCGTCTTGCCGTTTCTCCCTCACTCAGTGTGACACGGAGAGGACAGGCCATCCTTTATGGGCTCGCAAAAACTTGCGGAGAAACGTCATTTCCACGCCGACGAGCCTCAGGTTGCATATTGTGGCAACAAGTTGAAGAAGCAACAGCCAGCGGATTTGCTGAGGCCACCTCAACAGGCAGACGCAGGGAGGAAGGGCAGGTCCACAAGTCACACTGGAATTATTTTCACTTTGTGTTCAGACCGAATCTTGCTTTCTTCCTTTAAGGATGTCTCCTGGCTTGTTCTGTTTCCAATTCGTTACCAAATTAAGCAGTATGTAAATTCCACTGGAACTTTCCTAGGATTTTTTGCTGACTACTTTGTGTAAAGAAGGGTTTCTGCACAGTTGTGTCCTACATTAAAAACTTAAGCAGGCTGTACACAATCTTAAAATCACAACTATGTAACCAAAACAAACTTCAAAAGTTGAGAAAAAGAGTTAGTAAGAGGCATCATACCTCTTCTGTAACATGAAAATAAGAGAACCTAAAGGTGCTATAGTCAAGTTATTTCAAAAACCGCTGCAGGTCTACTGAATACCTCTGAGAGCTGAGGTCCACTCAGCTGCCTCCATATGAACCACAAAACAGCAGAAGCAGTTCCAGGAGACCAATGTGAACTTGAAACTTTTTCATCAGTTTCAGGTTACAAACAGTTTCAGGAGAGGGAGGATCAAAACATCAAGACATTCCAAAAAGGAACAGAGATAAAATGAAAAAAATAAAAATAAAAAAGCAATAAGCCTTTTTGCTGAGTATGCTAACACACAAATCATGTGTAATCTTCACTGTCAGCACTTCAGCTGAACAAGTGTGAGCCACAAGCTGGGTAGATCTGTAGCAATAAATATACATTAAAATCACAAAAAGCAAGGCTGACGCTTAAGGTAATAATCCAGACAAGATTTTGCATGGTATTGTTATGCTCTAACGGCAGAAGGTCTAACATTTTATATTGTAGTGGTGCAGAGTCAGAGGTACAGTGGTGGTCAATGGTGCAGGTTTCATTTCAGCTTTCAGGTACAAACACTGAATTAAACTGCACAGAAAATAACACTGAACTCACAGCTCTTTAACTCTCCCTGATGTCACTGACCAAGGGGAGATAATCATCTACATGAAAAAAGACTAAAATATAGCTGAAGCCCAGCTTGCTGTCAGAATGTATTACAATGAAATAACTACAAGAAAATGTGTGCATGGTACCCAATATTAAACATAACAGTGCCATCCCTTTGAAAATAACTAATCTAATACTAAATAGGACATATTCTCTGCCTTCACAAAACTAACCATTGGCTGCGGCAATGAGATACTAAATAAATTTAGTAAAGAGCTTTGACTTAATTTTCTGCTTTTTAAAAGGGATATTTACATCTGGTAATTATCTCAGTGTGAGCAAAAGGATAAAAGTGAACCTGAACTCTTTATCGGAACTGAGGAGAATTACAGACGGGCTGTTTGTTGCTTGAAGCAGAAAAGTTATGTGGCTTGCCCAGAGGAAAGAGTGACCTCTGCTGGACACTGACTGTCGACCAAAGTTGGACGTCACAGCAGACTGTCAGTTATACACTCAGTTGCCAGTTTATTAGGCATACAAGGAAAGGTTCTGCAATAAATCCTCCCATCATAAAGGTAATAAAGCTTAGCGATTCAGAAAATTTATGATCATTTGAGGATATAACGCCCAACCCTGGTGAAACAAAACTAAATTCTAAATAAGCAAGATGTCAGTCAAGCACAGTTTGCGAATACCCATTGAACCAAGAAAGTGTAATTTAGGCAAATATGGGAAAATACCTGCACGGGTCATTTATTGGTGTGCAGAAGCTTAAGTCTCAATCACAGTCTCTCACATTTTGCAGTCAGCATGAAAGTGAACAAACTAAGTGGCATATTTCTAAATGTTTACTCAAAAAATCTTTTTAAAATTATTTTTTAAAAAGTACACAAAAACCAGCATCCAGCAACTTGTCCGTCATAGTAAAAACCTTAAAATGAAAAGTAGCAGCAAGCCACTGGGGTCTCTTTTTTCTTTTTTTCCCACAGTAGCTTTTGGACAAACAAGAAAGACACTGCAGTTACACAAGGTTAACAGAAAAAAAATATTCTGGCTTTCTGGCTAGTATAGTAGGACACAATAAGACACATTTACACTTTATGTGAAAATGCTTGTTTTTATTCTAAGGCTGCAATAAGTTAGCTAACCAATAATAGCTGGCTAACATTAACTAATCACAACTGTGTAAAAAGTAAAGCCCAAAATTATTTACGTGCTCACGCATGACAGATTAATGTTTTTAGTTTGTTTGCTTTAACAACAACAAAAAAAAAAGCTATACAAAAAATTACTGACACCCTTTCTCAGTAGTGAATGGCCATGGTGTTATATTTTACAATTGCTAACAATGTGTCTGAATGTCTCCCCTGGGATTCTGTTCCTCTCCTCTTTGTAATGATCTCCAGGTCTTCTTCTCCATGGCTTCCTTGCCATTACGCTGTTCTCCAGTTCCTCCACAGATTCCCTGTGAGATTTAGGTCTGTACTGGGGCGGCGATGTTCCAATGTGTTCACAGTGTTTTCTGTTATTCATTTCTTAACCACAAGTTGTTTTCTTTTCTTTTTTTAATGCAGAACCTGATGTTCTCCTCCAGAATCTTAATATTGTCCTCTTTTCTCATGATGTTCTATTCTTTTACAAGGTAGCCTGATCCATGGGGTGAGAAACACAAACAAAGCATTCAATTCCCACCACCATGCTTGATCTTGAGGATGGTATAACTGAGGTTGAATAAGTCTCTTTTCTTTTTTCTAACTTAGGCCACATCCCTCTGTCCAAACAGCTACACCGTCCTCTCACCGGACCACAGAATTAATGATCAAAAACTTTCTTCTTTGTCCAGGTGATCTTTTGCAAAGGATAGACAAGCTTTTGTGTGTCTGTCTTGGAGAAGTGGGTTCCTCTTTGGTCTGTGTAATGAAAGTCAGCCTGGAGTGTCTAATAGAGATGTTGGTACCAGAACTGCTCAGATTCATCAGGATGGTCTTGGTGGTGAACCTTGCATTCTTCTTGGCCTCTCACACAACAATTCTTTCCAGTGCAGGGGTCACTTCTGGCTTCCTACCACAGAAACGTGGAACACCTTGTACTTTTGAAATATGCCCTATGCACCCCACTGGCACTTGAAAACTTGTGAATGAGGCTTTACAGCATTTCCCCCTCTTGTCAGCAGCCACAGTGCACAACTAGAGGTTCTTACCAAGCTCTGTGGCTTTAGTCATGTCTTGCAATTGACTAGTAACAGACGAGAGAGCTACTAAATCAGCTCTACTCAGTGTTCAAGTGTGTAAGAATGACAGGGTCAAAATTACCAGGAACATTTTGAATGCTATGAAATGAAACTGCATTTTCAAAATGTAAGTAAAACATAGAATTAGTCCGATTTTATTACTTCTACAAAGGTTTACCATCTCTTATGTATATGATATCCGGTGACAGGGAATCTTGGTTAAAAAAATAAATGAATAAACAAATAAAAGTGGGTTTGTCTCTATGCTGTGATACGTTTAGCTACAAGCCAAAGTTACCTTAATTTCGCTAAAAAGATAAGCTAATGCTAACTAGCAAATGCTAGGTTAGCTCCCACTGTAGCAGTAAGACTGGAAAGGAGAGGGGAAAAAAACAGTACACAAATAATTTATACCACAGTTAGGCAAAATTACACTTACCAAAACAGTGCAAACTTACAAAAGATGTTTTGTTGTTTTTCTAAGATAGCCACATAACCGGAGGTAATGTCCTTAAACCGGGTAACTCCGCCCACCGTCGAGCTGAAACGACGCGCATTTTGAAACATCCCTCCACCGGCACCGACTGTCCAACTTGTTAGCGGCTTGGCAGAATCATGGCCAGCTCCATGGACTACGCCTTCCCAGCTGGAGATGAAAGCGACGCCAGTAATGACGAGTGGGACATTGGGTGTATTCCGGATAAAAAATCTTCTGGCATCGAGGTTATTTTAGAAAATGTCATTCTTCTTTTCGTATTTCGGTTTATACCGCTGGACTGGACTGATAGCACTAGCTAGCAGCAACTGCTATAGTGTAGCCTTAACTTATTTAGCCAGCTTTGTATTGTGTTGTTACCATTTTGAGGGGCTTAGCTAGCTATACTCTCCTTTACGGCATAATTCTAACAGAAGAAAACGTATTGACCGGCGCAAAGTAGATATGTTTGGCAATATGGGTAGTTTAATAATGTACAGAACTAAATGTAGTAAAAATGGTACACTTTGCGCCTCTTTTTTTAACCTTCGCGGCCATAACTTGTTGTCTCCGGGCCACTTAAAGTGACTTAAACCAGATTAGCTAATCTGTGATAAAACAAATTCCTTAACCCGTTTCCATATTTTTTTTTTTTTTTTTTTTTTTTTTTAGCATTTGTTGCCATGCTCTTGACTTCTTCGTGAAATGTAAAACTGAGTCCAAATTCCAGTCAGTTTTGATACACATTCGCCCTACAATGCAACACAGTGCACCTTAGAATTACAGGAGCAGGTCACAGCTGGATGTAATTAAAACTAATAGTAAAGGGGAGTAAAGGCCTCAGAAAGACAAGAATTAAACAAGCTAGTAATTTTGTTGCCCTGTTTTTATTGACTGTATATAAAGAAATATGCAGTTTTATTGGCACCCAAATTTAGCATTTCCTGAGAGTGCAACTTCCTTAAGTAATGAGTTACAATATGAAACCAATTAGTGTAGAGTCCATACTGTGTAGTATTAGTTTGAAAAGTGGAATTAAGACATAGCATAGGCCAGATACTCTTCAGAATAAAAATGACAGACCCTGCTCTCTGCATTCACACGTGATGACAAAAATATATTTATTTTTGCTGTCCATGCCTAATTGCATGAATGTTTTGTGCGGAATATCACTCCAGATTCTCATATGTCCGTCACAGGAATGTTGTCCCTTAAGTTCTTGAAACTGTATGTCAACATGACATCCACAGACATTTATCTTGGCACATTTCCCTATTGTTGCATTTATATTGGGGTAAAAAAAAAACTTTCCAAATGTAATATATTTTCAGGAACGTGATGCACCTGTACCACATGCAACAGGCAGCGTGTCAATGTTGAAACAAGCCATCAGTAAAGGAGACATTGCCACTGTTGAACAGCTGCTGGACAATGGCAAGTACTTTTTTTTTTTTTCCCCTGTGTGACACAACTTCATAGTTAACTTTAAATAATACTGTAATATTACAAAGAAAGTAACGGTTTTCATAAAGTTTCCATTGGATCGTTGTTTTACTGTGATATACATACATACATACACACACAGTCATGAGAAAAAAATATTAGACCACCGTTGTTTTCTTCAATTTCTTGTTCATTTTAATGCCTGGTACAACAAAAGGTACATTGTTTGGACAAATATAATGATAACAACAAAAATAGCTCATAAGACTTTAATTTAAGAGCTGATATCTCGCCATTTTCCATGGTTTTCTTGATAATAACCAAAATCACTTAAGTGCTTGCATCATTAGCTATGGCATTGTACAGCCAAAAGCAATGCTTTTAGGCACTCCATGCTTTCTTTTCTGTCTGTTTTAGACACATGATACACACAGAAGTTAGTACTTGATTCAGCCATGCGTCTTGGCATGCTCTCCACCAGCTTCTGACATTGTTCTGCTGTCACAGCAGTCCATTCCTGTTGCACAAATTCAACCAAAATTGCTTTGTTTTTGGGCTGGTGGTTCTCCAATTTGCATTTGATGATTTTCCACGAGTTTTCAAATGGATTTAGATCTGGTGATTGAGCAGGCCAAGGCATGGGTCGAATGTTCTGGTTCTCCATCCAGGCTTTAACTGACCTTGCCGTGTGGCAAGGGGCATTGTCTTGTTGGAAAATCCAGTCATTGGAGGCAGGAAAGAGTTTTCCAGCTGTTTCATTCGCCCTTTCATTCACCATGACCGGCTAGCAATTTGGTAGTACCATGTCAGGCTTGTTTTTTTTCTTGGTGTAATGAATGGCTGTCTTGGAGATCTTCAGTTTTTGCGCTACCTGTCTCTCACTAATGCCAATTTCCTGCAGTGCCAAGATGGCTGCCTTTGTGGCTTCACATATTTCTTTTGTTTTATGCATGGTGTGAGAGCTGACAACTTCTGAGTTGTGCTACAGCTAGAATGTAAGCAGGAAACCACTTGAGGCCTTTGCATGCGCAGTGCTGCTAATGACATGAAATGGCCTCTTGTATACCATGGGAATACAATGAAGCTTAAGCATGTCAAATAGGACATAAAATATTATGTAATCGGCTGATTTTTGTCGTGTTCATGTATTCTTCAGGTAATACACCTTTAGTGGTACCAGGCATTAAAATGAACAGGAAATTGAAGAAAACAAGGGTGGTCTAATCATTTTATGTGTGTGTCTGTGTGTGTTCCTTTACTGATTTTTAACTTTTTCTGATTCATTAAATTCTTTTTTGTTGTGGACAGGTATGGATGTGGAGACCAGAGTTGGGTTTGAATGGACTCCTCTGATGGCTGCTGTCAGTGTTGCTAACTACGACTTGGCCAAACTGCTACTGGACAGAGGAGCCAGTGCCAGTTTCAGCAAAGGTCAGAACAATGTACTTGAGGTGGAGTTATCTGAAGTCATTTCTGCAAACACATTTTAAGTTTAAGGTAGTTTGCCATTTTAAGCTCCCTATGCAGACCTGCTTTTTTTTTTTTAATGAATATGCTAAAGCAAAGAGAATGAACAACAACAGCAAAAAAACATAATGCTTCAAAGACTTATGATCTGGACTCTGTTTGCTGTGTTTTGAATTTTCTCAACAAAGTGGCTTGTCCGATTCTGGAGCCAGTCCACGCTCAGTAGTTGCAGCTGGCAAGTGATAAATGTAACCAGTTAACCTAAGTCAAGGTAGCACTCATTATTAGATGAAATTCCAGAGTTCTTAACTTTACACAAAGGTAGTGCCAGCTAAAGGTGAATATCTAGCAATAACTTTAGAAAGTTATAGCTCCAGCTCAAGTTTAAACACTATTAACACTGTGTGGCTGGCTGTGTTGGCTCAATGGTCAGTTCAGTGTCCTTGCGTGAGTGAGTGAGTTACCACACTGGCCACAGTTGCCACATGTTTGATAATAGCATAATCCTTTAACCACCAAACAAAAATTAGTAGAATGTAAGCTGGTAACTTTGACATTGATGTTTATGGTTTGGGGAAAACACAGCATTTGCAATAAATCCAAATGCACATCTTATTAGCTATATGTGTATTTTAACTTACAGTCAACTCACAGGCACCATATATCAGCATAAATGATAAATGGAATGCCCATATGTTGGATTTCTAACCTGAGAGCAAAACATTGCACTTTATAGTATTTATTATTCATTGATTCAGTAGCTTTCATTCATTCATACACTCACTGATTGGAGTAGTCCAAGGTTCAGCGCCTTTCAAAGAGTCACTCTACAATAGAAGGAAAAAGAGGCAGAGCTCAAATACATATCCAATTATTAGATTTTTGTATACACCGTCATAAGAGTACTAGTGAAAATCTAAAATGGTTAAATTGGACAGTTTGTCACAGACAGGGTCACAAAGGGACACAAAGACATGTTCTGTTTTTTATGATATAGCTTGTACAGTACATGGAAACGTGCAACAGTATATTCCTCCTCCTTCTTCTTCTAAAACAGAGGTTGGACAGACAAATTCATGCTACTTTGAACTGTTGACATCTTCTGATGTCCACTGACCTCTCTGTTCATTCACCTCCCACTCTTCATGAAAAAAACAACAACAAAAACAAAAAACAAAAAAAAGCAGGACAGATAATCTGATTAGGCAACACCATTAAGTTTTTGCCTTCCAGGTTTGAATATTAAACAGCCATACCTAATCCTCCTGATGGTCCCTGTTGTGTTGGAGTTGAGCTGTCTTTCCCTGTGGCACATTTTTTCAATTTCCTCACCTGCTTTAGCCAAAGACCAGGGAACCAATCATAACTATGCACCAGTATTCTTCATCTGCCACTACTTAATGGTGATGACGCCAAAGAGGAATTCTTACAGAAACACACCACTGATCCTTGGTGTTGTTTTTAGTTCATGGATACTGCACCCTCATCTCAAAGCAAGAAAAATTAAAGGCATCTGTTGAATCAAGGTCAGTCTGGGTAAAATTAAGCATGGGAGCAGAACTTTTCCATGTTGAGGTTTGCAGTTTTACACATGTAAAACCATGTGTCCTTTTGCAAAACACTGGTCTCGGACACTTGAGAAACATTATACATTTTGTTGTTAGATAAGAGTTTGTACGGTATTGCACAGAAGTGGAGTCAACTATATGACAATCGACTCTACTCCAGTAGGAACAAGAGTCAGTGATTACATGTAATGATGGTCAAAATGTTTTTTTGGCCTTCTCCCACTGAATCACATAGTCATGATTTTATTTTCAAAGAAACATGAGTAAACTACTACAATTCTGACCTTTGACCTCCATAAATTGACAGATTATAGATAAATTGAAGCATTTTCTATTAAGTTATTCTTACTGTGCAGCAGCAAAGCATCTCCAGTAGTTACATCACTGATTCTGTGAGAAGAGAGAAGTTTGCCCCAATTGTCGTGCAGTTAACCCATGTTCCTATTGCGGTGTGTTGTTTTTTGACTTGGAGGTATTCTGTCATGTTTTGATATCAACAAAGTTATGCTTACTTTCCATTTTACTCACCAAAACACAAGGTGCATTTCCTTGTAGCCTCGATGTTGAATGTAAGCGTTAAGGAAGAAGTCACAGACCGTGATAGTGAAATCTGATTCCATTTTGTACATAGTGTTTTCCCAAAAAAGGCAAATGTCCATACATATTCTTATAATGAACACATTCACAAGAGACAGCACTCACAATAGGTTAAGACTTACTGCTGATAATGTGAACACATTCAGGATAAAAATGTAATCAATAGTAACAGTTAAGCATCCACCCATCAAAGCGTTAGCTATACCCACTTTATCCTGTAGAGGGTTGCAGGGGGCTAGAGCCCGAGCAATATAGGATAGAATAGAATACTTTATTGATCCTTTATTGATTGAAATTTTACACGCCACAGCAGCATCCAAAAATATAGAAAGTACAAGAAAATAACAATAATTAAGTCATATGCATCCCCAGTGTCCACACACAGCAGGTCCAAGGCCCCACCGTCTCCGGTTGGGCAGTCCACATACTGGCTGAATGTGGGGAGAGTGGTAGAGAGCGATGTATGATTAAAGTCTCCTGAGATAGCGATCAGAGACTGAGAGTGTGATGTTTGCAGCTGGGATACTGAGCTATGGATGAGCTCACAGGCTACAACAGAATCAGCCGAGGGAGGGATGTAAACGCTAGGATGTGCGAAAACTCCCTCTGCAGGCAAAACGGCCGCAAACCAACCGCCAGCAGTTCAACATCCAAGCTCCAGTCCGCTCTGACCAGGTGAAATCCGTCCAAAGTTATGAGCGAGTCCAGAGTGAGTTCGTTCAGCCACAACTCTGTTATAATTAATTATGTTTTCATCTGTTATGTATTCTGAATCTGTATTTTTCCACTGATCCTATGATCCTGTTTTGCTTTTTTTCTGCTGAGTACAATGCATGTCCTTGAAGATAACATGGCCGGTGAGAACTGGTTCACATATTGGGAGACAGCGGAAACTCCCCTATTCTATCAGTTGCTTTAGATACACGCCTTCTGGACAACACACACACACTCACTTTGTATTCGATCCAAGCAGTTTCTGTTTACATTTCAGTGAACTTCCACGTGAACAGTGGTTAGCCTGTTCACGTCACAGTAACTGGCCAATTAAACTTGGTAGCGTACAAGTCCAACCTCTGATTGTATTGGACAGGGCATTCCCAGCCCAAGAAGATATCTGTAACCTGAACCTGGAAAAACTCAATTCAGCTGGACATGGGATTACTCTCTGTCTCTCTGAACTCCAGCGCTGCCTCACTTTTCCTGTGACCTGAATAAATTCCACAACAGAGAACTGAAGATTTCTCCTGTTTGTTCTTGGGCTTCCAACTAAAGAATCGAGTCTACCAGCTCCCTGAACAACATGAGGCTGCACTCCAATACTCCCACTGCAGCTGGGTCAGCGCTGTTAGCTGTTAGCAGTTAGCTGTTAGCTGGTAGCGCTTCCATCCTGTTAGGGAGAGACCTCAGGTTTCCCATGATGATGGACGGATGGCTTGTAGCGTCTCCTCTTCTCCCAACACTTCCCTCCTGCCGTGCATCCCCTCTTCCTCCTGCGGAGCTCATCGGGGATGTCTGGTCTCTCCCACGACGGTGGCTTGGCCTGACTCAACGCCAACAGCTGTTCATGAGTGTAAAACAATGGAGCTATGGCTCAACGGCTCGCCAGTCGTGGACCCCAAAAACTCACAAAAAAGCAAAGAACTGACCAACAAAAACGCCATCTGCATCTCCACTGTTCCCGCACAAATGTGGTACAGCTGTGTGAAATTAAAATATTAAAACGATAGAAGAAAAACCAATGTAAATAGCCAAAAACACAGAAAGTCAGTGGGAGCTGCTGCAACTGGCTGCCACTCTCATGGTGCTATAGCAACAAAAATAAAATAAAATATAATACAAGCTGACATTGTGTGATGGGAGAACACTTTGGAAAGCTTGTCACTTAAAGTAAAACAATGATTAAGTTTTTTTTTTTGTTTGTTTTGCTGCAGTTATAATAAAATATTGTAAAAGCACTTCATTCATGCTTTTCTTGGGTGTCCACTAGAAACCCTCATTTGTCTGCTGAAGTCCCCAGACTGAAGTTTGAAACTTTAGCACTAGTCATGCTGTTGCTATCTGATCTCAATTAATTCTCCGTCCAGCATGCCGAGTTAAACTGCGTGTGTGACCGATTTCACATGTTTTTGGCATCTGATGCTTCAGGCAGGTGAAGGAAACAATTAAACAAGAGGATGACGTGTGGTCACGTCCCAATGGCGTTCGTCCAAGCAGCGAGGCTAAGCAGAGGAATGCATGAGTGATTGATAACGGTCAACGTGCTGCTCTCATGCCCTCTCACCAATTCTCAGGCCTCAGATTTATTTACTCCATTCCTCCGGAGACGCAAACCAGGCAGTCTGGTTTACACCCACACACACATAATATAAACATACACACATTCACACACTGCTATAGAGCCAAACATGCACAGCCACAAAGACACAGAAACCCACATACAGATGTAGAGGCCCAGGTATTTGTGCACTCGCATACAGAGAAACATACAAACACATTAGATGCACACAGGTTGGGGACTCGGTCACTGCTGGAAGAAAACAGAAAATTGAGAGCATTGCCATGGGTCTCCGTCTGCTCTTATCAGGGCAAGATGAGGACACAATTCCTCTGAAGTTACAGTCCTATAAAGGCTGCTACACTTCCTGATGCCAGATAAACAGCTATCCGCCTCCATCACTAGGTTCTGGTCCAGGCTTTTTTTCTTCTCCTTATTACAGTATAATGTATGGCTTCATATTTTTCCTCTAATCAGTTTTACATAGTCGTGTATATAGTGGTGAAATTACGAATGCAAACTATACCTTCTGTTTGTTTACATTAGGTAACTACAGTATATATTTCAAATATAACAATGAGATTTGAAAGTAAATAACAGAGGAATTAATAAGTTTCAAGCTTCAAGGACATACAGTAGGCTGTCTGAGCAAATGAAGGCAGACAAAGGACAAGACAAACCAGTATCTGTATTCAAGTAATATGTTAAAACTTGCTCTATGGTGCCTGTTTACACTTGGTTCAAAATACAGCAGCAAGACTGTTTTTGGTGCAGAATAATATATTCGAAGCGTAACATTTTTTTGTCAGGTCCTACACATGACAGTTTCTCAATACATTATATGAATGATTCTAAACAGGAATGAAATTGCAGATGAATGTGTTGACAGCTTTATCCTGTTCTGTTTCATAAGGATGATCTTGGACTTACACTTGGTGAAATGTAGCACTTCATCGGCCTCATTATAAGCAGTGTTAGTTTTATTATTATTTCGGACTCACTGCTTCGGTCTGCTGCTACCTGGTGCTGAAATGATGCGGGGGGCTGCTTGGCTGGCCACACACTTGTCACAGGACGTGTTTTTTTAATGTTTTAGTTTAGAACATTAAGAATTAATAATGCTTGGGCTGCACGGTAGAGCGGTGGTTAGCACCGTTGCCTCGCGGCAACAAGGTCACCGGTTCGCGTCCCGGTGGGGGCACCGAGATCTTTCTGCGTGGAGTTTGCATGTTCTCCCTGTGCAGCGTGGGTTCTCTCCGGGTTCTCCGGCTTCCTCCCACACAGTTCCAAAACATGCTGAGGTTAATTGGTGATTCTAAATTGTCCGTAGGTGTGAATGTGAGTGTGCTTGGTTGTCTGTCTCTAAGTGTGGCCCTGCAATAGACTGGCAACCTATCCAGGGTGTCCCCTGCCTTCGCCCTAAGGCGGCTGGGATAGACTCCAGCCCCCCGCGACCCTAGTGAGGATTAAGTGGTGTATAGATAATGGATGGATTGACATTAATGCTCAACATCAACTGTGTGACAACTTAGCGGAAAAACTTGTAAGTAACCGAGACTGACCACAAACGTTTAAAATATACAGTTAAGTCTCATAACTGGCTGTCTATATTGCAACCAAGCAGCCCTAGATATCTCAGCAACTTCACTGTAAAGCTGCTTAAGAGTCACAAATTGGTCAGTCTTGGCTGTTTATAAGGCTACAATTTAAGAAATCTTATCTTTCAACCCCACACTGTCTGATTCCTAAGAGTAAGAGTGTCAATCTTTATGCTTTTGTAATTGTTGCCAGCTTTTTTACAGTTTTTAATGTAATTTTTAATAATCTGTGCTAAACTAAATGTTTGTGTCAATAAAACTGACTCATAAAATTGTTGTTGTTCTTGCCCACAGATCACTTCACAGTGCTCATGGCCAGCTGCACGGCGTCTGCCAGCGAAGACAAAATTGCACGTTGTGTGGAGCTTCTGCTGTCCAGAAATGCTGATCCCAACATGGTGGACAGGTGAGGGGGGTACAGATGTGTTTCAGGTCAAAATATTTATGGGATTTTCAACACAGTGCGCACAGTCACACCCCTTTTGATGTAGGCCAAATAAAAACACTTCAGACTTCACTAGAACAGGGGAGGAAAAACCAGAGGTGCTGGATCAAATTTCCTTTGATGGTTCTCGTTATGTTTAGCTGCCATGTGGTAGCATTATGCACCACTGTGCTCCATACAGTGTGTGTATATTTGTGTGTTTTGTTTGGAATGTCCTGTTATGGCATGTGCATGTACAGACGGGTATCAGACAGACAGACAAACAAACACTGAGTGTAAAGGGTGGGCAGAAGGATTTTAGAAACTTTTTTTTTTTTTTTTACACATTTGGATGGAACCCAGTAAGCACGGCTTTATGGGTCCATAGCCTTGATATGTCGGTTACCAAGTCCATGCTTAACCACTAGCAATCGAAGCAATGCAAGCTCTTGTTCTGGTACATTTGTCCATTGTTGCGGATGGATTTGGTAGTTTAAAAAAAATGCATTGTTGTTCTGTGTTCTTTAAGGACAAATAATGCTGTTTATTTCTTTGTCATGTATATACTGTTTTGATATCAGAAGTATATGTTATACATAAACACAACTTAAAGTAAATATACAGGGGCAGCTCAAAAAATTAGAATATCGCAAAAATTAAAAAAATGTTGTGATGTTTTTTAAAAGGGTAAACTTTCATATATTCCATATTTTTTGCACGTAAACTGAAATACAGGTGTGACTTGACATTCCAACCCATATCAATCCAAAAACCTTGCTATCCGACAGGTTTTTGGGAAAAACGAATGGAACCCATTAAAAATAGCCTTAACATACCGACAACCCTGGATTCCAACTCCGACATGACATTTTATTTCACAAATAAGGATAACGGCATATTATCTAATGTAGCAATCCGACAGATTGGCTATGTTCAGACTGTAGGACTTAATGCTCAATTTGGATTTTTTTGTGAAATTAAATTTTTTTGCGAGTTCATTCACATTTCCAATTAAATGTGACTTGTATGTGATCTGCTGGATGAACCTTATATGACCCAAAAGTGTCCCGCATGCGCAGAAAAGGACATGACGATGTCACATGCAGCGAGCGTGCTCAGTGTTTGCGGAAGTAAACATGGATGGTAACGATGGAGCGTATCTGCCACTGCCAACGATGGCGGAAACAGAAGTTTGACCGCTATGCTAAACTGACATGAGCAGCCAAGTACTGCCAGTGCGTCCGGCCACTTCCACCCTGTCGGAGCACTCCCCCAGGGTGGAAGTGTCACCCCTCCTGACCATGCCGAATATTCGGATATTCATTATTAATTGGATCTGTGTTGTTCAGACTGTCAAGAAAAGACCAGATACAGGTCGTATAGGGGCAAAAAAAAAAAAAAAAATTGGATTTGGGTCACTTTACCCTGCTGTCTGAATGTATTTACCTTTGATGTCAACTGAAGGGCCCATGCACAAGTGCACTGGTCAATTAGGCGGGAAATCCAGCGATGTGTAGTGTTCTAACAATACACTAGTTGTTATAACAACTATAAACAGTGAATATTAACAACAAATTACCCTTCAAGCCTCAAGCCCTCCTTGTATCTCGGCCTTGTCTTGACAATCCGACATAAAAGAAGGTATTACATTTGGTGTCGGATTATCGAATCACGACTGTAATTCAATTTTTTGTTTTCATTTTGATAGTTGTCGCTTAGCTCAATAATATCAGCAATCTAGTGTCTGAAATTATTAGAATGATTCCTGATATCAATCAGAAAGGATTTACAATACAAAAATGGCCAACATCTGAAAATGTGTTCATTTATACACTCGTGGTTGGGGATCCTTTACCACGAATTACTGCAACAATGCAGCTTGGCATGGAGGGAATCACTCTGTGGCACTGCGGACGTCTTACTGAAGCACAGGTTGCTTTAAAGGTGGCCTTCAGCCCCAATTAAATGGTTTTACTAACCGTGATATTAGGAGTGTAACGGTACACAAAAATCACGGTTCGGTACGTACGTCGTTACGGAAGTCACGGTACGGTTCTTAGTTAAGGGGAAAAACTTAACAAAATATAAACCTGCTCATAATTAATCCAAAACATTTGCTTATTGTATTAAACCAAAAAGCTGTTAGCAACTCAGTACATCAAAATAAATGTACAATATATGCAACTGTAACAGAAATACTGCTGCATTGTTCTCAATATCAAACAAACAAAATTAAATAAATAAAAGTACAAGCGCAGCATTAACAATTCCAGCTTGTTGGTTTGCTGTAAATATAACTGAATTACTTTTCCAGTATAAAAAAGGAAGACACTGCTGCAAACAACCAAGTTCAGCAATAAATATAGAAAAATAAACATATATTTTTCACATAAATTTAAGAAGTGTTATGCGGCCAAATTTGAGCTTGTATGCTGTTCATAAATGGGGTGAGTTTGTAAAACATGGCTAACTAGAAGAGCACTCTGAGAGCGCAGACCTCCGCCAAGCAGCTCATTTCCACCATATTGTGATTTCCAGCAAGTTCTGCATTCATTTGATCTACACTATTAGATTCATGGAGAATCCAAATATAGCTCTAGCATCAAATTGACATTGATAACATCAATAACAAGCGGAGCAATGAACAAATATTCTGTACACTCACGTTATTTCTGCAGTTACTTACTGGCTTTAAGCTGTTAGCTAGCGCTATGCTAGGTTGGCATAACTACAGCGAGGCTATTGCTAACACAAAAAGACAGGGAGTAGCTTAAGCTAGGTTAGCACAACTTAACAATGCAACGTAAATGAAAAGCATGACTGACACAACGAATCACGCATCAGTCGTCATGACTCATGGCAAAGAGAGTTAAAGTGAACCAGGAGACATGTTGAGTCATTGTTAATGTCACAACGCCGTTATAAACTTATCTGTCAGTAGCTCTGCTCAGCCCACTCCTGTGATGCTGCCTGGCTGTAGCTTCCTCATGTGCTGCTGAGAAGACAGCGGTGAGGACTGAGGACTGAATGGAGTCAGAGCTCCAGCACAGCGGGCAGTTACGCTTGGATGCTGCCTTTTCAAATGAGTGTGTCTGACGTGTTGCCAGATGCATAGTTGAGGACCGCTTCACAATATGGACATATTTCTTTCGTCTTGTCGACTTGTTTTTCTCCTTTTTCGGACTTCACCAGGAAACCGAAGTGATCCCAAACGGGTGATTTTAATGACACCGGAACGTCTTCCAGCTCTGGCTTGTTGTTATGGTTGTTGTTGTTAGCATTAGCCTTCCCATTCACTAGCCATACAGACCAGGCTTATAAGGAAGTGCCGACAGGAAAATAAACGGTCCGTCACATCCTGTGGTCCTCTGGAAACTCCTACTAGTTTTTAGCTCCGCAATGCTGCGCAACTGTGAGCCGGAGAAGGTCCACTGCAACTGTGGGCACCATGAGATTTAAAGTTTTGCAACTGAAACAATTCTGTACATTGACCATTCTTAACAGTCTTAAAATTTTCATACCGTGACACACGTCTGTACTGAACCGAAAGAGCCTGTACCGAACGGTTCGGTACGAATACGTGTATTGTTACACCCCTACATGATATTACTGTGCTTGACTGCTCAGCCAACTCACCTGACCTGAACACCACAGAACCCCATATGAACTATTGACAAGTGGAAGATGAGAAACACCTAACAACATAATAAGGCTGAAGGTCGCTATCAAAGCAACCTGTGCTTCAATAACACCCTAGCAGTGCCAGAGAATGTGGAAACTTTGCACTGCACTTCAAACATCTTGGATTCTGTGCTTATCCACTCTTCATCCAGACTCTAGGACCTTGATTTTCAAATGAATGCAAAATTTAATTTAGTTGGAATGGCAACTTTGAACCCACTGACCATCAGTCTGGTTCTTTTTCTCCTCAGCTCAAATAAGACGCTTCTGATGTTGTCTCTGTTTTAGGAGTGGCTTGATATTGGATATGTAACAGTTGTGGCCTCTCTCGTAAAGATACGTGTTCCTGGTTCTCCTGATGCACTGACACCAGCCTCAGTTCAACCTTTGCAAAGCTCTCCCAAGATTTTGAAACAAAGCGCTGACCTACTGTGGCCTACCTTCTCTCAATGATCCTCTTCAAGACAATTGTTTTAAGTCTCTCCCCCATTCTTCTCTCCACTTCCCTATCTGTCACTGCTCTCTCAATAAAGGCAAAAAGGCCTGTTAAAGAAAAAAAAAATTAATTGTAATTTACTCATACTCAAAAAGAAAGAAATAGTTTAAAATTTCTAGGTGCTTGATTTTTTTTTTTAGGGCTATAGGCCATAATCATCAACGTTTAAATAGAAAAGGTTTTTAAAGATTCCCCTTGACGGGTAATGAATATAGACTGTGAAAATGTACCTTTTTAAATGCAACTATGACAACTTGAATGAAATTCAAATTTTTTGAGCTGCACATGTATGTAAAAATGGTCCTCAAAAGTCGAGAGCCTAGGCTTCAGCAGAAGACAGAAGCTAAAATGGCCTGTTTTTTGTGGAAACTGAACTGAGGGGCTGCATGAAGGGCCAGTTTACAATAAACAATAAATATTATTTTAACCGGAAATCATGCAAAGATGGGCCAGTAGGGACCTAGACTCCAAATGCTCACCTGGAAAAATGATTCTTGCTTGCTTGCTTATGGGCATGCTGCCTACAGTCACTTCATCACCACACTAATTATTGTTACAAATATCTCACAAAAGTTTTACATTAGACTGCACGAGTCACACACATTTCTTTCAGTTTGTGTGGATTTATATATCTACCAGATTTAAATCATATTTTCTATGAAGTGTACGAGCGACAGATGTCACAAAACATTGCATGGTCATTTCCAAAACACTGGTTGTGTAAATTGACCTCAACACATTGAAGCAGCAACTTTGGGACTCAACCAAATATTGTCTAAAAGTGTCTTTTATATTTAGATACAGA